TTTCGTCTGCATACTCTACGAATGCATATCCCCGTGGCTTGCCCTTCAGGGGTCCTGTCTTGTGGAATAGAAAGTCCAGCTTGGAAATCTTGCCATACTTTGAGAACACTTGGAGCAACGTGTACCTGTGAGTGGATCAGCGACGATTCTGAATGCAGAACGGGGAGGAACACACTCGTCCGCAGAATGTGCCAGGTTCCCGACGTAGAGTCGATCCTTCAGGAGTTGCCTTGCTCGCGGAGGCGGAGGAGGTGGCGTAGAGTCCTTCGAGCTCGATGCGACGGGATATGAGAGCGGATTATCTGTTTGAGGCCCCTGCATAGGTTCCATCAAGTTGTCTCAGGTCTCAGCGAGTGGTCGTAGAAAGAGAAGTAGGTGAAAGTAGCGGTATGAAGGTCGAGGCCGGGGTTGTGCGACTCCAAGGCGCGAACGAGTCGAAAATCGGTATATGGGCGCTCTGCATACCGCCCTCAAATAGGCGCGCAATACCCGGACAGAGCTAGAGTCCTTGATGGAGGAACCCTTAAAGGACTGGAAATTGCAGAGAGATCTGAAGCTGAGGATACACTACTAGAAGATACATTATCAGATATGGAAAACAATCAGTTCGCAGGAAGCGGAAGAACGAAGGGGGAACACTAGTGCTGTGATACACGAACTTGAATACAGTACTACTAATCGAACTAATATCGTACTAGAAAACCGCAGAAATCAGTTCGTCTATGACCTGAACTCATGATTATTAATCGCATATTTTGAGGACAGAACAGCCGGTGACGTACTCAGTGGGCTTTCCTCCGTGTGCCGATACGATATGCCTCTTCACAGCGTCAGGGCGGCTCAGTCGTTTTCCACAAATACGGCACGGTATCCCGCCTCCGCGTCTCAAGTGGCTGGAGTCGATGTGCCGTTTGCAGTCGCCACTACGTGTAAATCGCTTTCCACAACCAGGCCAGTTGCACACAACCCTGCCGCCTCGCGTAAGTCGTTCCGGACCGTCCTCGACGGGCGAGAAAGCCTCGCGGTCTCGACTTGCGGACGTCTTGCGTCTCTTGCGAAGGCGGCCCGTAGCAGACCTATCCTCGCCGTAGTCGTCATCATCATCGTCATCATCACCGTCCGAATATGAGCTACGCCTCTTGCGAGAGCCACGCGTGAAGAGCAGTTCACTGTCTTCGTCGTCACTATCGATCGAAGTGGAGGATTCCGAAGCATCGTTGGCGTTGCTAGCGAGACAAGCCGACAGCCTCTCCTTCGCTTCACATGCAGCTTTCCGCGAAGGCCGGCCGTCTATACGCGGCAGCGACATCGACGAAGAAGCGCACAGGTCCGATACCGGCAAAGGAGATGTACGGCGAGTGTGTGTTAGGGACGCTAGCGCGGTCTTCGAGTAAGGCTGGCTCGACTGCGAAAGCTTTGAAGACTTCGGTGAGCGGATCGTTCCTTGGTTTTGCGCACGCAACCTCTTAGATGACGGCAGGGGTGACCGTGGCGGAGAGCAAGACGGAGAGCGAGACGGAGAGCGAGACGAAGCGCGAGATGAAGGGTAGGATGAGGGATGTAATGAAGAGCGCGAGAAGAGAATAGAGGCGTGTTCGAATTCAGGAATAGATTCAGGCGCGGAGTGAGAGTGGGGAGAGGTCTGGTGCGGGCTACCGCAACAGATTTGAACGCTGTCGTCGCCATCATATACTTCGTGCGTCCCAATCAGGGCACTGTCGGCGAGCTCGTGTGTCTGGTAGGATTGGGGTGAAATGTCCGCGAGGCAGATGGTGCTAGCGGCAGACTGTGAGCTCTCGTGGGGGCCAGATCCAGTGGGAGAGGACGGCGCGGAATCCAGGCTCGAGCTACTCGACACGGACCACGGACTTCCTAGTATGGGGTCATGTGAAAGTCCACGAAGCCCCGGCACCGAGATGTCGGGCTAAAGACGCGAATCATCTGTCAATGATTTGTCCAGGTAAAACAAGGACGTTGTACGCACTTTTGTGTCCGGGAATGTGGACTGCGTCACGTATGAATCAGCTGATGTCGAGTCGGCACCGCCTGAGTAGTACCAGGCATCGGCGTACTCGGGGTTGATGTAGGCGTCGTACGGAACGTAGGCGTCTGACGAGTAGGATGTATACAGAGGCATGTCGTCCATGAATGACCCCGTTTGTGTGGGAAAAGCTTGGTATCTCTCGTGTCCTAGCATGAGGGAGAGCGCGTTCTCCGAAAGATTCATCCTCTGGAACCTGCTAAGCTGTCGTGGGTGTACACGGCTGTGGTAAGAAGAATGCCTTCGAGAGGTGGTACAGTAGATGTGCGCTAGTGTTACACTGGGAATGAGTTTGAGTAGGTGTTCGGGAAGTTGGGGGGTCTCCTGCCTAGACCAGCACTGTTTATAAAAGGGCCCTGCGCACCCTTGGGCGCTCCCGCGAAGGTGTCCTATCTCGTTCGCGACCTTGTGCCTCTCGGCATGGGTGCCTGCCGGTCGTGGCCTACCGCTTTCGGCCTCGATCTTGTTACCTCAGATTTCGATTCATTATTGAGACCGCGTCTGATGATGCAGTAGAGAAATAAGCATAGTTCGCGCCCAAAGGGTATGGAACGAACCTCTGCTGTGGCGGATAATAAGCAGCACCGTCTAATGGAATCGACTTGTCAAGAAACAAGGCTATCGACTACGTGCTTGCACAAGAATATTCGTGAGCACCAGTGTACTCCCTGAATGCAAGCCTGTCCCCCAAGCCCAGCTTGCCTCGAGGCCTGATCATTGCCTTCGATCAGCGGGAGACCAACGGAATGACTCGTCGGTGGTACAGTTCTAGCGCCTTTGTACTCGTCTCTACTGAACTTGAATGTTTGCCTTGGGGTCCGAGGCAGTGCCCGCGCACCCATGCGGCTGTTCTGTGATGCATCACCGATTTGCTGTGCACACGAGGTCTGCGAACACGACGCAGCCTTTGGAGGAACTAATATTGAGGCGGTAGCAGCAGATGGGGCACCTTTGTAAACGTGCCGCCGCTCAGACCCTCTCAAGTTTGACACTAGGGCCTGGACGAAATGTCAGCTGAAAATAGGATGGATCAGATAAGTGCAATAATTGCGTTACAATTTCCTCCTTGATGTCGGCACTCGGCGATGGAGATTGATAAACGATGGTGGAGGGCGTGGGGAGAGGACGAGAGACGGATGTCTCAAAAAGGGAAAATGGGGACCTACGTTGGCAAATAATGCACAAACAAAGACCGCTTGGGGCTACACCACGACCCTTCCGGCTACTCTATGCTGTCAGCTGTCCCCCCGGCTCGCGCCGCAAACGTTACGAGTGGCACTTAAATTGTATCAAGGGGAGAAACGGGTGCAGAAACTTTTTGTACGGGGCGCGTGAGCGGCGCGAACTGTACAGCTAGGATAAATGGGGCTCATTTCATACACAGCACTGACGATGTTTCTGTCTCGGTTTTGTCGCACTCGTAATTTTCTGATGCCGCAGTATGCCATACGCCTTCTTTGTTTTTTGCTGCTTCCCGCTCTCCGCCGCCTGCAACACGCACCCTCGTTTTGCGCTAGCCGTGCCTGAGCACGCTATCGACGCGCAAACACTCTTGCAAGCTGCATCCGGAGAAACTCCCTCGTCGCGGGCAGACAGGTCCGAGAACGACCTTCCAATCGATGTCGCTTTCAAAAGCTGGCGTGCTGTGGTTTTGTACCGCAGAGCGCTCCGGGGCGGTGTTTCAGCCAACCCCATGGGAAGCAGTTGCGCAATTAAGAAGTGCCATCACCCGGGCACTGGCGAGTGACCCGACGCTCGTGTGGACTCTCCCCCGGGAGTTGGCCAAAAAGAAAACAATAGCGTGAGTATCCGCGTAAGGGGATGAGAGCGGCGCGCAAGGTTTATCAATTCGCCCCAGCCCCTCTTGCCGAAGAGCCGCGAAAGGCTGCAAGACCGGGACAGATGGTCAGCGGGTGGAGAAAGGGGTACACAGCCGGTACAACCCATCATTACCAAATTCTCAATCGAGGCCGACCGGTCACAGACGGCAACCGTAGCAGCTCCCGAACGTGTCTTCTTTGGTATCTGGCTTCCGACCTAACACTCATGATCCAGACCGTAGTAGTCGCTTTGGCAACGCCTTGTTGTTCGCAAGCATAAATCGATATAGCCTGTAGACAATAGTATCTTGTGCTCGACGAACTGTTGCCGCCATCCGAGTTGTGAAGGATATGCTCGCTGAGCACGGGAGGCATCAGGCTGCGTGATACGGACATGCGTAGGACAAACAGTTCAAACATCTAACTTCGCGCGCCGGAGAAAGAATAAAGCCTAAAGTCAGATAGGATAACACCAAGATCTCCTCTTCCAGAGAGAAAGCTTGCGACAACATGTACGAATACGTGCCCCTTGCACCTGCCACTCGGTGCCACTCGAGGCCCATCGGGACTGGCAGTCTCCCCAAGACGCCTCCTCATGGCGGTGTCCTAGGGAATCGAAGTCATGATCAGACCCGACATTTTCTGCCAAGCGGAATATTCACAGGGTCCGTTCGCTTCGGCTGGCAATGGAGAGGAACACGCATGGGGCAATCGCGCCTGATCCACGCACTTTTGTCCCCACGTTCCGGGCACCGCCGCATTGCGAGCAGGGAGCGTGACTCACATCTCCTTCGCGGGAACGGTCACCGAATGCCCTGTGGCCAACAGAACGGTGATACTGTAGGATACTGCATGGTCCTGAGCGGGAGCGCACGCTCGTGAATCGCTATTTCATGGCCGCGTGAGACCATCTCGAAGCGTCTCACAGGCCAGGTGCTCGTGGTGAATTCGGATATTGTCTCAGCATGCAAGGGCCTCGGCAGCAGAGACTCCCATGGCAGGCGCTATCCCGCACACGATGGCGTTCAGAAGCTCTAAGGATACAGGAGGCTGGCTGCACGTACGTTCGCTTACCACTCGATACCTAGGTCTACGGCGAGCGCCGCTGGCAATGAAAGCCGTGTCCGCTCGGCGCTGCCTTGAAAGCCCTTGAATTGTACCGTCGGTGAGTGTCATGTACAAGCTGCCAAGTGAAACTGCATAGAACGGCCACAAAAAGTGAGCAGTGAAAGCTATAGCCTATAGATGGCCTACATACTGGCATGATACACCAGGTTTGTACATCGGAGGGGTTGCTAGGGACGGTGCACAGCACAGGGTGGTAAGCACAGTTGTTTTCTTGAAGAAACCCGGCCAAAATTGGGAAAACAAGAACCAATTGTTCCCCGGTTGTACATTGGGGTAAATTGGTGCCTAAATTGGTGCAAAACAGGCCGAAAGGGGCTGAAACGCGACAAAACTAGCGGAAAAGGAAGGTTTGTCTTCAAGTTTTCTCGAATGAAAACCGGTTAAACACGGGTTCTTGTTCGCCTAGCTTTTGGCTGGTTATGCAAGCAAAAAAACTGCGCCTACCACCTAGTGCAGCTTACCATGACAATTTATCATGACGCACCACCTGCAAAGCAGAGTGTTCAACACACCTCTGAAAATGGGGCGTCAACTCAGTAGTCACTAGTTATGAATAAAACAAATCTGAACATTGCAAGCGGTTTTAAACCGCAGGGGAGGAGAAGACACACGGAGAGGAAGTCACGAAAAAGCGAAACGTGTCGATAATGTTAATATAGGAGTAAACAAGAAACAGGCCGGTTCTGGCGCCTAATCTCGGGGTGTCCTGTTTTCGACCTCCGTTCTCGACACTCATCATCGCGATGCGCTGGGCAGCTTGTAACGCTAGGCACAGCGTTGGGCAGAATGGAGGGCCTGGCGGAGAAGTACTTATGCTTAAAGCTTTCTGACCTGGCACAACGAGCGCAATGTGCTCTTGCAGATGTCCTCGGAAGTACTTTGCAGTTGGCAAGTTGAAATGACACTCCATACCAGTGAGTCGTCAGCATTACTTGCTGGTACATACTACTTACATGTCAATGCATACAGCCTCCGCCATCCGCGCTCCGGGGACTTCGCGTCGGCATGGCGCTCGGCGACGGCGGACGCCGATAAAGACGCTCTGGATGCCTTCTAACCGTGCTGCGGTGATGGGCTCAGAGAGATATCTATTCGCTCTGCGAGGAGTCACCTGCTCTCTTTATCCTCGACCACGACATCGACCATGGCACTTGCAGACAATGTCGTCCGCCTCGTGCCCCTCTCGTCAGAGGTGGAGATGGCGCAGGAGAGCCGATTCACTCTTGCGTGGAGTGAGCTCGTGTACCGCTCCACGGAGATCGTGTTATCGAATACCACCGCACCCTACGACTTCCTCGACCACCCGTCGTGCATCTATCTTGCCTTCATCGAAAAGCTGATACCAGCCAACGAGAAAAAAGACTTGCCGCCGTCTCTTCAGACCATCGGCGTCATCTATCTCACCACCTCAGAACTCCCGAGCACCGTTAACGTCGGAATTGCGCTGTGCGCCGAAGCACGCGGGGAGGGGTCCGCCTCCCGCTCCGTGCGCCTGCTCGTCAACTGGGCGCTCACTGAGCTGGGCTGCCACCGCGTGCAAGCCCGCGTCGTGCGCTGCGGCGACATGGGAACGGAGGACTCGCTGCGGATGCTTGCTGCGCAGGGCTTCGTCATCGAGGGCACACAGCGCCGCGCCCTGTTCTGCCCCCCACCGACAAATGCTACAGGCCCAGTCGACCCGCAAGCGACGAACGGCGAATGGCGCGACATCGTGACGTGCACCGTGCTGGACACGGACTGGGCGCTGAGCCAGCCCGACTCGTTTTCCGTCAAGTCGCTCTGGGGCGACATGTTTGCGCGGCACCAGCGCGAATCCGAGGACCTCGTGGCCCTTGAGGAGCGTGCCGAGCAGCGGCGGCTGCAAAAGCGAAGGCTGAAGGCTCTGGAACAGATGGCTTTGGAAGCTGCCAATGCGGAATACAACACGAAGGTCGAGACAGCTAAAAAGGTCAAGACAGCTAAAAAGGGCAAGAAATCTGCTCGAACACCATATCCTTCCCAGCCGTCGTCCAGCGGGCAGGCCACCTGGTCGGCCCAGGAGTGGGGCCAGGATCCGAACAGAAGACAGTTCTCGCAGGCTCGCGCTCTCGCGTCGATCCACCAGTTGGGCACCATGCTACATGACTGCCCACCCGATGTTCAAGCGCTACTTCCTCCTACAGGGCCCCAGCTGAACGCTCCCGCCTTGTGTCCAGATAACTACACGGCAGCTGGTCAGCCGATGGACGGGACGCTCCAGATAGGGCCATGGGCAGTGCTGGCATCCGGCGGCCCGCCCTGTTCGTCAGAGGGCGCTGCGATGGACATCCCAACGCGTGCCGAGGCCCGGGACGCGCCTGTCGAACAGCAGACTGACGACGAGGACGACGCATCGAGCGCCGTCTCCCTCTCTTCCGCCTCCCCGAGCGACTCTGTGATACATATCAACGACGATGCGAGCACCGTCTCTGATCTGTCGTATACCTCCCTTTCCCACAACGAGGACGACTTCATGTCCGACGGCGAGCTCGTCTCGGACACGGCCAACACGCCGCCGCGCTCGCCGTCCGTCGCGAGCCATGTAAGCGGCGCGTCCTCGCTCGAGAGCTGGGACGTCCTCTCGGAGGCGAGTCGTGCGAGCACCCCGCCCGTGCCGGCCGAGCTTCCGCACACTGTCCCCCAGTAATCTGGGCGTACCTGCACCTATTTGCGGACAGCTGACCCTGTATGCGTATGCCCTCTCTATTCTTGCGCAGTCCGAAAATGTACCACTGTACTTCCCTCAAAAAAGGCTTGCTCTTTTCTTTTTCTTTTCCCCCTCACTGTTGTACTATCCCCCATGCATGATCAACCGAACAAACACGCGGCCTCACATCGCTTCACTACATGCCCCCGCACTGCTTCTCTTACTGCCTTACATATCTCCTTTATTCTCATCTCCTCAACCTTGTCTTCAGGGTCATTCGGTGTTGTACCAATAAGGGACATATTCTCGGAAAACAATTACATCTCGGGTCTTATGGTGCTCATAGCTAAGCGAGTGTGATTTGCATTGGTCCGACATGGCATACACCAGGTCACCGCCTGGGCAGAGGTTACTCCTGATGCGCAGTGAGATGTCCGATTCGCCGTCCTTCGCCGTCTACTGATCAGAGATAGCATGTCGTTTCCTAGTATGCAGAACGCACAGCCGACATCCGCGGAACTTCCTCATGGGCGCTGATGCTGGGAACAGCGATGTCCACACGGCCGGCTGCAAGACCCGTCAATTGAAGGGCCTCGAGGCCTCTCGAGCGGCTGCAGGTAGCAGTGCAGAGCCCTGCGGACAGATGTCGCGCATCGGCGGAAAGCCAACCGCACCTGGCAAGCAGTTCCGCCGTACGCCTGGAAAAGCATGGGTAAATTTGGCTAGGAGACCAATGGACCAGTGGGTGACATCTTGTACTCGGGGTCTCCAGCCCCGTCGAGTCGTCGAGTGAGGGGCCGCGGTCACCCACTGCTCCTGATACACGCATGTCACTGCCTGCTCGCCATTGCACTCACATCCACCTGTATTCTAGCTTGTCGATACGTCCCCAAGCTCCTTGCCCGCTGCACTGCTCAGCTGGCCGCCTGACCACTTGTTGACTACGGTAGATCGCATATGTACGCTCACCATCTGCTCGCCCACCCTCGAACGCATTGGTCAATCAACACACCTGTTTATTTGCCCACCTATCCACTCGCCCGTCTGCAGACATTGGCGAGCCGCTCGCGAACACCGCATCCACCATCCCCCTCGATGCCACCAGCCCACTTCAGCCACCACTCTCCGCGCACCGCACAACCTACAACGACCTGACGAATTCCACAACCTCGCCGAGGCTCTGCACGACTTTCGTCGGCTCGAACCGGGACGCGCGGTCGATCCAGCCACTGCTAGACCTGTCGACCCAGATCGCCTGCAAGCCTGCACTGCGCGCGCCGGTGACGTCGAACGGGTTCCTACGATGCGTCTGTCAGCTCTGGCTCCGGCCCCCCACAGGCTGCCCCTGGGGCGAGGCGATAAGAGAAGGCGGACTCACCCGCTGACGAGCCAGACGTGGTCCGCGGCGACGGGCTGGCTGGCGCCTTCGTTGACGTGCCGCACGAGCCCGTCGTAGATCGCGCGCGAGGGCTTGTAGGTCTGAGCTGCGTCGGCGAGGAACATGCGCTTCGTGAGTGTCGAGAGAGAGTCGACTTGGAGTGCTTTCGTGACCATCTGGAATTTTGGGTGAGCAGGGCGGGACGGAAAATGCGGTTGTGCGGGCTCACATCTTCTGTGCCTATGGACAAAGGCTGTCAGCTAAACATGCAGCTGGGGAATTCGTCGAGCACTGGCACACCGTTGCTGAAAATCACGATTTCAATGTTGGGCAGCTTCCGGAGCTCCTGCATCGCAGGTGCGGCATCATCAAATCTACGTACTCAAGTTAAGCACAGCGAACATCTCGAGCCGGGAATCACGTACTCCTGCAGGCGGTTGTATGCTGCCATGATCTGAACGATCTTACGCTCATCGAACTTGATTCCATGCTCGGCCAAAGCATGCTCGATGGCACGGCTGGTTACGACGTCAAAAGGCTCGTAGATTCCTGGATATACGGCGCGTCAGCACAAGCAGGCCGTTCAGAAGCCGGTGTGCGGACCCATGCTGTTGAGTCGCCATGTGTACCTATGAAATAGGCCGTTAGGTACCTGTTTGCGTATATGCACTGCAAGGATGAACGCGGCCTGCGACAACAAAGACTGCAAATTCGCCTCGGCAGGATGGTAGTTGGATCCTTGCCGAGAACCCGCATCTATGGCGTCCACGATTCAGTTTGCTCGTGGACTTACTCGAGCTGATATCTACGCCACAACAAGCAGATCTCTGTAGACTTCTGTTCGCCAATATCGAGAAGCGATTGTAAGCCGACGTTGATGGTGTTTGTGTCCAGGATGGTTCCGTAGATGTCAAAGGCTAGGACGTGCATATAGCCGCCACCGGACATGTTGCCTCGTTAGTATATCCAAATGATTGTTAGTACCTTTCAAGGGTGTTGTCTGCGTGTCGTGTCGTGGCAGCGGGGAAGGGAGGGGATCGTGTGAGTGCACTGTGTCTCAGACCGAGGTCAGTGACGTCACGCGCCGTAACCCAGCGCGTCGCGTGTGCCACGACGCATCGAGTCTCAGTTAGAGAGAGAGGCCATGCTCAAGTTTGAAGCTCACTAATTCGGATGATATTCTTGTGGCGTTCTAACAGATCGTCATGAGCACATCATCCAAGCGTGTGAGCATGCTTTGAGTGTCTCTTTGCCTCTAACAGTAGTGAAGAAACGCAGAGCTTGTACCGCGACGCTTGTGCAACACCTTGTGGCCAGTGTCTCCGCAAGTGGCAAACCAAGCCAGGACCGGGCTGTTCAAAAACGGAAAAAGAAAAAAAAAGACTCAGCTGCTCCGCCTATTTCTGGCGCCGACGGAGGCAGCAGATATTTTCGACAGCCTTGGCTATCCACTAGCTCAGTGATAAATTTTATTCAGCTTATTGGTGTGCCTGAAAAACAATGAATTAATAAACATGTGCGCACAGAGTGGTAAGTTAAGAGCAGTTTTTTCTGGAGAAAGCTGAGCCAAAGCTGCAGTGGTCAGACAAGGCCCATTATTTTCTCTGTTGCGCGTGGAGACAGAATGAGGTGAGGCCTGATACAGAACTGAGGTGAAAGCTGAAGAATCACAGGCCCTTGTTCAACCAGTTTTCACCCAATTATTCAAAGAAAAAGATGTACTTACTACTCAGTGGCGGGGCGGCTCACCAATTTGTAGAAGTGTGACAGGCGAATTTGTATTGAGCGACCAATCCGCGTTGTGCGTGCCATCCAAGTGACTTGGTTCGGTGCCAGAGCCGTGCACCAACCATTCCCTCTTTCTCCCACCTTGACCTGCCTCTTCGTCGTCTCTGCGCACGGCGGTGTTCACATGCATCGACACAGTTTGAAATTCGGTTGCGCTGATGCGACCATCACGGTGCCACGCGGGCATGCTGTATTTAGCAAAAGCGCGCTCCCGACTCGTCGGGGACCCAGCACTGAGCGGGACCCGCGGCATGCCACTTCTGCGCAGCCAGACCTGAATATATCTTGACTATGTCTAGCTGGTCATCTTGCGGTCTCGACTTTGCCCTGGTCAAGGTACGCTGCTCTTCGGCGCCGGTTTGGACGTGTTTTTCCGCAGCTGGTTTCGTTGATGCACCCTCTCTGCAACCTGGGCTCACTGCGCAACGGCCTGGCCATGCATGTCAACCTTAATTCTATGTTTCGCTTGCTGCCCTTGTTGTCGTTATCGTGCGAGGCGGCTTCCGGAGGATAAATGCATAGTGAGGATGTTGACATCATCCGGTTCCTGAAGTGGTGTGCTGGCCGACTGCCAGCAACGTCTCCCCAACGTCTGGCATCTCGTCCTCGCACTCATCCCCAGAGCACACGACACGACACTCGCACGCAGCTCGAGTCTATACAAAGCCCCAGAGGTAAGCAAAAATTAATGAAAGACACCTAGATAATGAGCTTCGGCACCGCTTAACGCCACTCTCTCTTCACACCAGATCTGTTCCTGCCTGTACTTGCACCGCTCGCACGTCCACGTCCCCAACGACACGACTTTCGAACAGTCCCCCCCACTACACAGACGGCGGTCAAGCACGGCCGAGTTTTGGCTAGCTTAGCGACTCCGTATTGATCCCTCAATCTATAAATATTGCCCACGTCTCCGTGCTGACCGAGACCTCCATCAATCCACAAGTCTTCCGGCCAGCTCGACCATCTCCTACCTTCATCACAACCACTACATTCGATACCACCGCATACCACCGCTCTCTCACTAAGACCCCTCGACAAGAATTCGCGACAATGTCTGCTACCCTCGTCTCAGAACCTACACATGCGAACGGCTATGCGAAGCCAGGTCACTCTGTCCGCCGCGACCCGTCCGGCGTTCTCAACCGTCTCCTGCAGTCGAACGCGCAGTGGGCTACCGACGTCGCCCGCGTTGAGCCAGGATTCTTTGAGCAGTGTTCAAAGGGCCAGGCGCCCAAAGTGAGTGTGCCCTCCAAAGTCATATTGTCGGGACTCGATGGTGCGCGCGAGGACGGATACGTTGGAATTGTGTGGGAACGATACTACACTCGTCTCAAGCCGTATATATGCGCTTAGGAGGAAGGCGTTGCTTGCAGGAGCCCATAGCAAGTCAAAGATACTTCATCGACTGTGCTATGGCGCATGGAGAACTCGCAAACGCACGGCTCCTCTCCTTCTTGTCCTCTCCACCTTGACCCTCGACGCTGACCACGCCCTAGGTCCTCTGGATAGGCTGTGCCGACTCGCGTGTCCCAGAGTCGGTCCTCATGGCCTGCAAACCCGGCGAAGTCTTCGTCACGCGCAACATCGCCAAGTACGCCTCCCCCTCCCCCTCCCAAACTCACATGTTAACAAAAACAACTTCTAACAGCCAGGTGCACCTGCACGACGACAGCGTCCTGTCCGTGCTCACCTACGCCATCGTCGAGCTCGGCGTCGAGCACGTCGTCGTCGCAGGCCACAGCCACTGCGGCGGCGTCGCCGCGTGCATCGCCGCCGCCCAGTCCGCCGCCCAGTCCGCCGCCGCGGCGCCCACGTCGCCCCTGCAGCGCTGGCTCGCGCCGCTCACGGACCTCGCGCGCGACCTGCACGCGCCCGAGTCGCTCGAGCTCGTCGAGGCGAACGTCCGCGCGCAGGTCGAGAACCTCCTCCAGACCGACGTCGTCCGCGCCGCGTGGTCGCAAGACCCTGCCGTCCGCGGGATGACGAGGCTCGTCGGCGTGCATGGGTGGGTGTACGACATTGACAAGGGCAGGCTGCGCGATTTGGGTGTCTCGGCGTATGAAGACGCTTGACACAGCTCTGTCACCGCGCAGAACAGATTTCCAATGATATCGGGATAGACAGGAGAGACGTTTGAATTGTCTCGCGGGATGGTAACATAGAACTGTACTATTAATTCTGCGCGTTTTTCTCAGCCGGGATTTCCAGTTGTCAACAAATTCAAATATTCTTGCCATTACATGATGTTCCACAGAATTACTTGGGTAAATGCAAATAAAGGTATCTCTAGGGACTTCCGAAGCGAAAGCAGGACGGTATCTAACAACATTAAATAGGCGTGTAATTCTCATAGCCAAAAAACGTCTTAAAGCGTGTCGAGGGCGTTAACGAAGGTGACTTTACGAGCGGTTCCGTCGCAGACGGGCGGACAGCAACTTGAACGGGTTGGTCTTGTTGATGCGGAAGATGTACGTGAAGGCATATATCGCAAAGATCTGTGATGCATCCGTGCGTCAGCCACCTCGCTAACCCCAAAGCGAAAAATAGAAAGAAACGCACATTGAACGCGATGAACGCAAACATGAACCCGAAGTTGCGCCAGCGGTGGCCCCACTCGATGTTGAAGCTGTTCAGGAGGAACTGGTCCGTCGTCCGGAACGAGCAGTACAGACACGCCTCGCTCGCATCCGGGTTCGTGATGTACCCGCCCGCGTTGCTGATGAACGGGTCGAGGTACGCGCCGCACGTCTTTCCCGAGGGCGGGTTCACCTGCACGAGCTCGACGTCGGCGCAGTTGACCGTCTGGCGGCCGAACGCCTGCCCGACGAGGCCCTCGATCAGGTACGTGTACGGCGAGAGGCGGTACATCCAGCGCCACCAACCAAGCTCGCGGAAGGGTTGCAGGACACCGTTGCTGCAGAGACACGTCAGGGTTTTTCGAGAGAGAGGGGAAGAGAGGACGTACAAAGTGATGACGAAAGAGAAGAGGAAGCTGAAGAGAATTGCCGCGATCTCGGTGTTAGGGGACATCGCTGCGACGGCCTGCGTCGGTGTCAGCACACATCTCTCCCAAGCTGCAACAGACAAAGACTGACCTGTCCGATCGTAGTATAGTAGATGGGATTGACGATGGAATAGAAGAGGAAAGTGTAGCCGCCACGGCTGGTGGGGAAGCCGACGGTCCAGAACCAACAGACGAAGAAGAGCGACGCCCCGAAGATGTTCCACGGCACCTCCGAGAGGATCTGGCTCGTGACGAGCGCCGTCCACGAGTACATCCGGCTCGGGCGCTCGCGGATCTCGTACACGTTGCGCATGTTGATGAACGACACCTGGAGCTGGTTCGTGAGCGGCACGGAGATGATCGTGCTCATGAAGACCGCGAAGAGCTTGTTCTGCGTGCCCTGGAGCGTGTCCTTGCTCTTGAAGAATGTGAAGCCGATGAACAGACCCGCGATGATGTTCAGCGCGAGCTTCGCGAGCAGGTACGTCGGGTCCCGCCAGTGCGCGAGGCAGTCACGTCGGAGGAGCTGCCCGACCTGGTACATCCACGGCGTCGCGAACTCGCTCTTGTACGTCGCGCCGACTGCTCCGCGGCTGTGGCCCTCGGCGTGGATCTGCTCGAGCTCCTGCTGCAGGCCGTCGGCCTCCTTGGAGTTGCTCCATTTCTCGTACCAGTCAAACTCGGACGTGGCGGTCGCTCCGGCACCAATAGACGTGAGGATGTACTCAGCCCTGCCACAAATGGTCAGCCACACGTCCAATGAGGTACTAGTCGGAAGCGACTCACGGGTTCTCGTCAGGACCGCACTTCACGGCACCGTTGCGTTCAAAGTAGCTGATGAGCGTGCTCGAGTTCGGGCCGATATCGCCAAAGTAGACCGTCTGGCCGCCCTTGCGGAGGAGCAGGAGGCGGTCAAAGACCTGGAAGAGCTCCGCGCTCGGCTGGTGGATGGTGCAGAGGATCGAGAGGCCGCTGTCGGCGAGCTTGCGGAGGAAGGACATGATCGCCCACGCGCTCTGCGAGTCGAGCCCGGACGTCGGCTCGTCGAGGAAGAGCAGCAGCCGCGGCTTCGCCGCGAGCTCGACCCCGATCGTTGTCCGCTTCCGGTGCTCGACGCCGAGCGAGCCCACGACCGCCTCCGCGTGCGCCTCGAGCCCGCACATCTTCAGGCACTTCTCGACGTACGCTGCCTTCTCCGCGTACGGCACGCTCTCTGGCTGGCGCATCCGCGCGGAGAACAGCAGCGCCTCGCGCACCGTCGTCGACGGCAAGTGCGTGTCCATCTGCTGGCAGTAGCCGGTCTGGGCCTGGAAGTCTGGCGGCGGCGCGTGCCCGTTCACGAAGCGGTCGCCGGTGACGACGCCGATGGATGTCCGTTGGGCGAGGACATTGAGCAGGGTTGTCTGATCGGACCGTCAGTCACCATTACACAAGCCCCTCAATTGCGGACCAAAGACGTACCTTTCCGGCACCGGACTCTCCCATGAGCGCAGTCAGCTTGCCTGGCGCAACATAGCCAGAGACGTCATCCAACAACCGCCTAGTCTTGCCGTGTCCGACAGGGACGTCGTACCGGAGGTGGTACCACGAGAAGATGTCGCTCATGGCCGGCGACTCCTTCATCGCGTGCTCCACCTCCTTCTCCTGCATCGCGCCGATCTCGGGGCTCGCAGCCTTCTCCTCGTCATTGCCCGTCTCGTGCTCGACGTCGACGTTAGAACCGCGCCGGTAGAGCGTGACGGCGCTCTCGGCGGAGGAGCGCGTGTTGACCTGCGTGCCGAGGAGGTACAGGAGCGTGAAGCCGATGCCGTACGCGACGACGATGCCGAAGTTGCGCCAGAGGTGCGCGTACTCGTAGCCGAATGAGAGCAGCACGTACCGGTTCCCGTCGACGGTCGCCTGTGCCGGCAGCGAACCGAGGGTCGTGCACACCTGGTTGTCGATCGAGATGCCTTCGTAGCCGGGACCCGACGGGATGAGTGACGCGCACTGCCCGTCGAGCGTGTGGAACTCGTTCACGAGCAGGCCTTCGAAGCCGTAGCGGATCGGCTAGCGGAAAAGTCAGTGTGAAACTAGCGGACCGAGTAGACAGGGGAAACCACGCACGTTGACGTAAGTGATCCACCGAAGGGCACCGATCATGGACGGCTGGGGGATCGCGTAGCCGGTGTACAGGACCAAGATAAGGATGGCGAGACCAGCGACTGTCTGCGCAGGCGCAGGCGTCTTGAACGCCGCCGCAAGTAAACGGAACCAGGACCGCATGGTGATCGTCATTGTGTAAACGAAAAGCAAGAAAATACTGCGCATACAGTCAGCCCTCTCCCCACCAAACAGTTCCGAGACCAACACTCACAAGAATTGCGATGCGGTTTGCTGGAGGCCGACGATAAAGTAGAGGACGATGGAAAACATGAGGAGCGTTATGAACGCGATGGGCATGTCGACGAGCGTGAGCGCGAGCGACTCGATGAACGGGTAGTACATCGCCGCGCGAGACTGCCGCAAGACGATTGGCCGCTGCGCGAACAGCGCGGGAATCTCAGCCTGTGCTGTGAGTGCCGCGAAGAGGAGTGCGCTAGAGGGGCAGACAGCGTCAGCGGATGTCGAGCGGACGTGGGCCGGAGGGACGCCAAAAGCTTACAAGAAGATGACACCACCGCGAGAGAAGTACGTCAATGTCGAGTCCGGAAGGCGGACGAAGACCGTGCCGATGATGATCGCCTGGACGATGAAAACCCTGCGCGAGAAAACAGCGTCAGACACGGCGTACGACACAACAAACGCCGAACTTACGCAATGTTCACGACCTGGAGCGCGATGCCGCCCCGCAAGATCTGCACGCGGCGGGTCATGAGCGCACGCGCCTGCATCGGGATGGACGTGATGTACGCGCTCGTCGCGCGGGCCGTGCGCACGTGCTCCTTGATGACGCTGTCGCGATACGTGCTCGCGCGCTGCGGGTTGCCGACCGCCTCGCGCTTGTACGCGGCGATGTCCTCGCGGTTCCAGCGTGCGAACGGCGACGCGTCGTAGCGCGCCGCGAACTCGGCGGCCGTGCGTGGCACGCGCTGCTCGAAGCCCGGGCGCGCGGTCCGCCCGAGCGGATCCGTGACCGAGACGAGGAAGTCCGCCGTCGTCTGCCGGTTCGCGGGCTCGTAGCCGAGGTCGATGAAGTACTGCCGCGCCTGGTCCGCGCGCCCGAAGTACGCCATCTTGCCCTGGTTGATGACGCAGACCTTGTCGAAGAGCTTGTACAGCGACTCGCCGGCCTGATAGATGGAGACGATGGTCGTCGAGCGCGCGATCTCTGTCGCCATGCGCAGCGCCTGCACGAACTCCAGAGCCGTCGATGAACTGCAAAATATAGTTCGTGAGATGGATGCATATATGAAGAGATAGTGGGTGAGACGCACTCGAGGCCGCGAGTGGAGTTGTCCCAGGAGTTGATGACGGACCGGGTCGCGAGAGCCTCGCTGATCGAGACACGCTTCTTCTCACCACCAGAGACACCACGAACGGCAGCATCCCCGACGAGCGTGTCGCGAACGTGCCTGAGCCCAAACACAGTCGTCACGATGTCGGTCGTGAGTTTCACGAAGTCGTCGCGCGAGTGTCCCGAGATGCGACTGTGGGGCGTGCGGGTCTTGGCGGCAAAGTTGAGCGTCTGGCCGACGGTGAGCGTTGGGAAGTGCACGTCGTCCTCGGGTGAGTACTGGACGTCGCCGCGGTAGGATTTGTGGATCTCCTCCGACGTGAAGGAGTCGTAGTGCACCTCGCCCTCGATGGCGTAGTACTCGTCCCGCTGGTTCGCGAGCGTGCGGAGGAGAGTCGAGCAACCGGCGCCTGGGCGTCCAAGCACCACTAGACCAAAATCAGATCAAAGTTGAGAAGCAGGGCGGAGACGGAACTTACGCAACATTTCTCCGGGGCGGACGACACCATAGAAGCCGCTGAGAATGTCGCGGAGAGCAGGATGCCGTGCGCGGTTAATCTTCCTGAGAGCGTTCAAGGGGTTGAGCATGGACGCCAACGTCGGCTGGTAGGTCGCCGCTGCACCCAGGCCGACGACCCGAAGGTCTTCGAAGCTCACACCGAGCTCGCGCTTGGGCAAGCCAGCCTCGTCGCCCCTGCAGCCGGGATTAGTACGTTCTCCTCACCAGTCGAGTTGCAACTTACTTTCGCAGGAGTCCCTTCAACACCTTTTCCAGATCAAAGGCTTCGCCGACAGCAGTGCCATGTGAGGACACGGACTCCATGGATTTCGCACCGGGGGCGGTGGTGGTATCAGGAGGAAGGGAGATGTGGCTGAGGGTGCGACTAAGGCCGTTGACGCCGGCAGGGTCGAACATGGTGAGGTTGACATTTGGATGGCTTCCGGCCGGGGTATTGCCAGCCGGGGTATGGTGGACTACCTCAATAGTGGAATGCAGTGACTCGTTGGATCGGTAAGAGTGGAGATTAGCTGCGCTAGGATGGGCGCTGAGGCCGACCGGGAGCTCGGGGACCTGGTCGCGTTCCTCTCCCTGGGCGGGAGCGGACAGCGACGCTTGATCGGACATGCGGGGCTAGGAATGGTCGAGGGAGCGACCGAGGGGGTGGGGACGGTGGGAAGAGAGGGGGAAGTGGGGAGCTGGACAGGTCCAGGTCAATGATATATAGCAACGGGACAAGCAAGCCGCTGTCAAGTCTGCACCGAGCATGACGCGGAGAGTTCGGCGAATGGGTCTGCGGAAACAAAGGGAGGCTGAGCGTATCTGGAAGGTTGTGCAATTTGCGTCGCATGGCAAGGCAGAGGGGAGGGCAAACTTCCCGTCGCTTACGCCATAAGCATCGCCCAGCGGTCATGTTTGCCGAGTCGCCCACCGTTCTCGGTGATCGTCCCCACTTACTATCAAATCTGTCCTCGTCCCATACATTCCCCAGCGCCCGTCCGAACCTTGTCTTTCGTTATTCAGTCACCAGCCAGACTCTGCTTGGTCTGGGGACCTCTCTGCACCTTCAGCGACCCACCACGCACTCGCTCAGAACCACACAAAACGCACCAGCCTCCGAAAGTTTTGCAGGGCCCACATACCCCAGCCAGAGCCCGTTGGTCATCCAGATGACGCACTGGCAGTGAGACGGCGGATTTCCCCGCGGCCAAGTCGGCGGCATCAGATAACTGCTGACGCCCGTCTGCACCACCGGAAAAGCGCCCAAGCACACGCCACAAAGGCGCTGATGTCTTATATCTTCGAGGACCTTCCACCGAGGACAAGTAACAAAGATCTCTCAATTTTTAAATCACGCTCCGCTCCGCCTGCTCTCTTCTTCAAACGTGCGCTTCACCTGCCGCCGTGGTCAGAGTGCGCGCGCAGCAAGTATAGCATAATTATGGCCCACCTTTTCAAAGAACTCGGCATCCATGAGTACGCGTGCGCCGAGCGCTCCGAGTGCCTTGGACACGTTCATGCATGCCTGGTGTGCCTCGGGCGTCGCAGCCGCTTTCGTAAACTCTGGCGTGTGGTTCGTGCCGCCCGCTTTCGTTGGGATGGCTGCAACAGATATCAAACGTCAGCTCGACGATCGTGCCTCCATCGCTCGCCCATAGCAACCTACCGAATCCCGGGTGCAGTGAGGGCAGCGCTAAAAAAAAAAAACAGCATACGAATCAGCATGGCGGTGCGGGTCCGTCTTCTCGTTCAGAAATCACCATATGTCACGTTCCCCTGTGTGAACAAGTCCTCGTCAGATACCTGTAACCATGAAATGCACGCCAAAAAAACAGTGGGGACACCCACAAAATCGGTCGACGCGCCGCTGATGCCGTACTCGTAATCAATCGAACCATACTTGCTCGAGAAGATGTGCGCGAACTCGTCGCCTGCCCCACGCTGCCGGTCAGCACACCTTGTGTAATGATGTGTATGTCGCCCAAACTTGGGACGTACTCAGCGCCTTGTTCTGCCGCAGCTCGTACAGCGCCGCCTCCCCGAAATCGAACTTGGCCTTGGTGTCCGTCGCATTCGCGGCTGCCCTGCACAATCAGCCGTGAGTTTGAAGCCCGGTCCCGGTAATTGGAGGAGACACCCGGAAACGTACTCGAGACAGGCGCGCACGCGGGGCACGAGCACGTCGACCTCCCTGCGCGTTGGAGCACGCATGAGCCACCTGGCTCCCCGTCAGCAGCCCTCCCCACAAAACCTACGCCTCAAGGGGAGCACTCACTTCATCCATGCGTAGTCAGGGATGACTGATCGGCCGAGCGAGTGAGCAGATCAGACTCCGCGCGGAGATGAGGCCCGGTCACTCACCGTTGGCAGCCCAGTCCTTGCCCTTAAGCGTGCCGTGCACGCGGTGCGTGGGCTTGATCTGCTGGCGCAGCATCGACACGCTCGTGTACGCCGACACGGCCGCGTCGAGCGCGTTGTGGCCCTCCCACGGCGCGAGCCCGGCGTGTGCGCTAGGTCCGGCGGGAAGGCGGCTCAGCACACACACAAAGTCTGCTTGCGAACGCCGCAAAAGAACGACTCACGTGTGCCCAAAGTACTCGACGGCCATCGGCGTGATCGCGAGGGAGCTCGCGAGACTCGCGGACAGCGGCGGGCCCGGCGCGGGGTGGCACCTGGGTCGCGGGGATCCATGAGCACCTTTTATTTGGAGGAGTACACGGTGGCGGTACGCACATGAGGCAGACGTCCATGTCCTTGTACGCGCCCTTCTCGAGGAGCACGACCTTCCCGTACTCGCTCTCTTCCGCTATCGTGCCCCTACCAGTCAGCGTCCCGCCCTGGCACGTCTACACGCACGCACGCACGCACCTGGCGTCCCGAGGAGGACGACCGTGCCGGGCACGTCGAGCGCCTCCATGGCGCTCCGGAGCGCGCACGCGACCGCGACGCCCGCGACGGCGATGAGGTTGTGTCCGCACGCGTGCCCGACGCCCGGCAGCGCGTCCATCTCGCTGTTCACGCCGACCGTGCGCCCCTCGCCGGACGCGCCGTGCGTGAAGCGCGCCTCCCACGCGGTCTCGAGCAGGTGGTGCCTCTTCACGGCCCAGCCCTGCTTCTCCATGAAGGACGCGAGCGCGTCGTGGGCGTGTCTGCACGTCGAGTGTTGCGGCGTGGGGAGAGGGGCAGGGAGTGAGAGAGAGGCAGGGGGCACAAGTCAGAACAGAGGGCGGGGCACACAAGTGGGAATGGGGGGTCGGTACGCACCGTTCTTCGTATCGTATCTCCGGATGACCTGCACACAAAAGCCAAAAGCACCGTTCAGCCGTCGATCTCTCGCGATCCCGCCACCCCCGCCCCGCCTCCCGCCGCCGTCACACGCGACGCTGCACACCCCTCCCGCTCTCCACGCCCATTCACACGTCCCAGAAGAGAAGCAAGGGGTAAAAGGAACGGACGCACCGTGGATGTTGAGGCTGAGCTCGCGCAGCTCGTCCGAGAGTTTGTCGACCGCGGCGTCGACGACGGCGTACACGTCCGGACGGTGGATGTCGGCGCCTGTGCCGCGCACGCGCGACACGTCCTGTCCCGGCCGCCAGAATATGTCCGCGCTCGGCTGCGTGCTGTCGGCCTGACACATTGTCGTCTCGTCGCTTGCTCTGTTCTGTCTATCTGTCTATCTGTGCGTATGTTGGTGGTGGATGCCGGTGGTGGTGAAGGTTGCGGCTGCGCGAAGATAGTGTGGGTCAGGAAGGAACTTCCGGCGCGGCCATGGGACCTTGCACGGTCAGAAGACGTTTCGCGTGGGACTCCAGCTGGCGGAGTCGTCCGACGGATGATGTCAATGTACGGAGGTGAGGTCATCCGATATGTAACGTATTCTCAGAGTGAGAACGACTTCCGCAAGGCTCGGGAAGATGAGCGGGTAGCAATCGCGCGCGTTGGTCACTTGACGCCACAACTTCGCAGTACAGGATAAACAGTTTACATAAATTCGTGAACGAACCTATGGCTCTACGTATACAAGGACCTCTGGACACCACAGGCCGCCAACTTCGTTAACAAAGAAACGAGGGAGGATAAGCACGAACGATAACGGAGGCCGAGGGAAGATGAGACGAAGAAAGAAAGAGATTACGGGGGAGGCGCGGTACGATATAATAAAATGGTCAAAAAATCACTAAGCTAGGTCCACATTCTGGCAATTTATCTTGTAGTCGTCATCAACACAATAAAACACATAACTAGCACAGGCCCGAAACACAAATGAGAACGAGACGCCAAAAAACAGAAAGGGATATCTTGGGGCGGGGCAGAAGCAGAGAGCCGAAAAGCGCGAGCAGATATAAATGAAGCAAAGCGAGGTCGTTAGATCGTGAAGGGTTTCCGTATCTCACCTAGCAGGCCCAACCTATACACAGGGAACACAAGGAAGGAGGCTACAAAGCCGGTCATTCCTTGACTCCGGCCGCGGACACAGCCGCTGGAATGGGGCTCGCGGGGTCGTTCACCATGAGAGTCTCAAGACGCTCCTCCAAGCCCCTTCCGAGGCCCTCGCGCTCCCACTCGCCGCCGACGTCGTTGACGAGATCAGTGGCAGGGTCGCGCTCGGTGATCCAGGCTGAGGCCTTTAGCGAGCCATGGATGCTCGCGGCGCCCGAGGAAAGCTGTGCTTGTGCCTGAGGGATGCCGATCACGCTGGAGAGATGCGGTGGCGGTTCGTTGAACTGGGTGAAGCTTGAGAGGGGGTGCGTTGACGCGGGCACGGAGGTTAGGAGGTCCGTGTAGGAGAGGAACGAGAGCCGCTTTGATGGGTTCTTTGGCGATGGAGGAGCGTGTGAGGCGAGGCCACCGCTGACCGTTGTGGGTGTTGCAGAACTCGTAGAAGAAGATAGTGTGTGCAGCGGGTGCTCGACATGGGTGGCTGTCGTCGGCGAGGACTCCTCCGAGTGGACAGAAAAGTAGGCAGAAGTAGGTGTTGAGATAGAAGGCGCTGGCGCTTGGCTCGGCGAGTTTGTTTGAACTGCGGGACGCATCGGTGGGGAAGTGCTTACGACCGGGGACTGTGTCTGGCCGGGCAGAGGCATTGTAAAGCTTGGAGTGGGTGACGGAAGGCCCAGGATGACACTTTTCCGGTTTGACATGCCATTCGGGCTCGGACTGCGACTGCTCATTTGCGAGATCGGAGACGTGAAGCCGCTGCGAGGACCGAGCGAGATCGGTGGGAGATGATCAAAGGACACTGGGGTGACTACAGCGATGAAGTCCATGCTGTCTTTATCGTCGGGGTCCGCAGTGAGCATCTCCGCAGCACTATCAAGCACCGATGGGACAGACTGGTCGAGTTGCTCGCTCAACTTTCCTCGCGGGATGCGATGGGGATCTGTAGCATGATGGAGGGGCGTGGACGGTGTGAGTGGTTCGATGTCCCGCTCGAAAATGGCAGACGAAGAGGAATGACTATAATGGAAGATGAGCGCAAACAAAGAGGGGGTGGTTGTAAAAGGCTTACACGGAAGTGGGAGATGAAGGTATCGATGCCGGCGAGCGAGAGCCAAGGCGGCCAGTACGGAGGTGCTGAGAGGCTCTCTGGGACAGTCTATGCTCCTTCGGCGGACTCGCTAGGTTTACATTCGAGGTTACATGCCGCAGGTCATTATTGTTTGTGAGTGGAGCTGGAGAAAATACGTTGAGCATTTTGCAAGTGAGGTCAAGGTATGAGAGAAAGTCCACGCACAATTTTGCTGCTCAGCAGCGAGAGAGGCCATCTTGATGCTCTGTCGGAGGGAGTATGATGATGGAGGAGATGGGATGGGGGTTTGCAACAAGCGAAACTCCTTTACCTCGACCTCGCACGTGACTTGGCGCCGGGGACTTGCCGCAGGCGCTTTGCGGCTTCGACCTGAACGTTCGTCTCGCGTCACCGCGCGCTGAAAGCCATGGCTCTGCAATGCTCTACAATCTCACGACAAAAGCTGTTCTAGCTCACACACTGCTTCACGGGACACGTCCAGCCTGTGTACTGTTCTCCCCAGCATGTGCGCCAGGCATATGCACCGGGAACTTCTCCATATATTTGCGATAGATTACTCTGACGACCGTTGCTCCTTAGCCATGCTCGCTTAGCCGGCTTAACAATGGTGGAGAACATCAGGGCTATCAAAATACCCAGGCTCCAGTTGTACCAACCCCAAGGCAATCCCAATGGGCCCAGCCCACATCGCGTGCAGGTCTGAGTCGGACAGACCACCCTCCTACAAGGGACATTAGCATTATCGATGTGGTGTCTTACGCTGGACGATCGTACACGAGGCATTGCTAGCGGTCCCCGACCCATGGCTGTGCACCCCGTGGTAAGATGTTCCCGCACCTTCCGCAGACATCTCAGTTCCTTTGCTCGTGCTCTCGGTCGACTATCGCTCTGCACCCATGATGTCTCCACCTTCATTCCTCGTCTGGTACTCCCCACAGCAATTTGTCAAGACCGCGCTGGTGGAGCGGCCTAGAGCGACTCGCGTACTTGAATTGGAGATGCCTGTAGGCCGTAGCAACCTTAGGAACACTCAACCTTCCCTGATTCCGACAAGCTATATTCCATCAGATACTTTCCAAGCAAGGCGCGCTGCACCTAGAACCACTCGTTCCGATTGGCGGGAAGGTTCCAACCAAGCCTAGCGAAGCATAGCAGTGTCTCGAACGATCGCGTTTGTTTCCGACCACCACCACCAGCCCTCCTTTGTTTTTGTCCAGCCTCTCCAGCCCTCTCGCCTGCCACCCATGCAATTTCTCACCTCTCGAAGACCGTTTGTCCTTCCTTCATCCTGCGGGCACGCGGCACTCTACCGGCCGCAGTTGCATGACGCGACCCAGGACGCGTCGATCGCGCGACACGCTTTCGGGCCCCGTGGCCGCGTCTAGTGCATGCCTCCATTCCCCTGGATTTCTGCTAAACTATCTATCAGCCGCTGGACCCGCAGCATTAGGCTTTAGCGTGAAGGCAGCCGTTAAATCCCATGAGCTTGCTCAGCCGACACGACCCATGTCCATACCCATAGATGACGAACTCTCTGCCATCGCGGCGTAGTCCGCGGCAACCTGGGGTACGGTGCGGACGGTCTTCCACGGCCATTACACAGATTACTTTCGTCATCTCCAAGTCCCGGTCAGCACATGGCATCGCTCACGTTAAATTTGACACGTGGACGAGAGTCCAGATATCCATAGTCTATCACATATATAGCTACCGTTCTAGAAGCCGTAGCAGTCTATGCTCTGTACGTGTTCTTCCCAGGTGCTCAAAATCGAGGCTCAGTGAACACCTTAGCCCTCGAGTCGTATAGCTACACTCGGCATAATGAAGCTCACGAATGCTCGAGCAAACGCACAGCTATCTCCAAGTAATATACTATTGGCTACATTTGAATACGATTCTACTTGCACGGACTTACGATGGGGCACTATGCAATGGCTCATTCCTCGTTCACAATTACGACGCTCTTCCCGTGGTTCTTGCCTTGCTGAACCTCGAGGATGGCGTGTCCCGCCCACTCGAGGCCCTTCTTGGCGTCCTCAATGTACTTGATCTCGCCGCGGGCGACCTTCCCGGGCACCTCCCGGTAAAACTCGTCGCGATACTTGGGCATGAGCGTGCCGACGATGAAGCCGTGCAGGTGCAGCTCCTTCCCGACAATGGTCATGAGGTGCTTGAGCGTGTACGGCGCCGAGTTGTACTGTGAGATCATGCCGCATTCCTGGGGCCCGCCGCATGTCAGTTGTGGCCAATGGGGCGGGTAGAGAACATGGTGGATAGAAGTATGCGTACGATGAAGCGTGCCCCTTTCGCGGCGTTGAAGAGCGCGGCGTCCAGCGTCTCGCCGCCGACGTTGTCCCAATAGCTGCGAGATGCTTTAGCCTCCAGGTCAAGAAGGGCTATCGTCTCGACTCACATATTGATCGGCCCCTGCTCCTTCAGCACGTCCCAGGTGCTCGTGGTCTTGTAGTTGAACGCGACGTCGGCGCCAATGCTCTTGATGAACGCGACCTTGTCATCCGAGCCTGCGGAGGCGATGACCTTCAAACCGTGCAGCTTGGCGAGCTGGATGACAAACGACCCGACAGGTCCTTTGTGTGCGTGCGCGTCAGGCTGCAGGCCCAAGAGGAGCGCAGACGGAGAACCCACCGGAGCCTGCGGTGACAAAGACAACGTCGTCCTTCTGCGGCGCCGCGTACTCCTTCCAACCTGTCCACGCGGTCTGGCCTGGCATGCCAACCACGCCGACGTACGCAGCCCACGGCAACTTCTCCTCGTTCTTCAGGATGCGGAAATTGTCGATGTTGGGCAGGACGGCGTATTCCTGGAAGTCTAAGTGTGATCTTCAGCTTCAAAGCGGTCTTGAGACGGGCTGGGGAGCGCTGTACGTACTATAGAAACCATAGAGGTGGTCCCCTTGTTTGACGTTAGCGTTCTCAGAGCGGAGAACGACGCCAACGCCATGGTTGGAGATTCTGAGACTAGGTGAACCGGGCCGTTCGTACACCAATCTGTAATATATACGCACGGTTCTCCGGGTACAAACGCGGGCTATGGGACGTCGAGGTCAGTGCTTGATGCTACATGAGTCTATTGCGAGGGGCACGCACGGAGTAGCTTTTTATGGAGGCGTCACGCATCTTGCCTCGCAAGTACGGATCTATGCTGACGACTAGGATCTTGACGAGCACACCGCCGTTGAGGGGCGCACTGCTGAGGTCGATGGTCTGGTATTCATCGTAGATCGTGGTCTTTCCTGGCTCAGGAAAACCTACGCACACGAGATGTCCAGTGAGAATCACAGTCATATGCAATGTTACGCCACGCACCAGTTGGGATCTCGTTGAAAAGAAGGCGGCCGTTCTTGACTGGAGCCATTGGGAAAATGTAGTAGAGCTGGTGAACGACATGAAATGTGTCTCCGAAGATTATATATCTGCCCCTGTTGCCGTCTGAAAATGTGATTCGGTTTGAAGTCAGCCCCGGGATGCATTAGCCGCGAGCCCGAGACATGCAACGGCGTCGCCGAGGTCATGGCGGGAAAATCACTATACGATCTGAAACGCAGTCTTTGTCATTACGGAAGATGCTTTGAGATTCGAGACAGGTGGGTTGCTGACGAAGTCGACTGAGCTCACCGATTGGCGTGCTGCGAGGGCGAGGATCCGAGGAGCGCCACAAAGTCCGCGACGACCACCCTCATGATTAATGCGCGACGTTCGTTTGTCGGTCCCACACCCCTTGCTCCCGCCCACATAGTCTATTGTACTAGGGTGGCCATCCTAGAGAAGGCGATGGTCCGTGTGCAGGAAATCGCGCTCGCTCGTTGATTCGGTTCATCTCTATCAGCCTTCTCATGCGCGTCATCCCGACGCCTCCTCCTCCCATCGTCAAGCTCCTGAGAAAGACAACAAATCACAGTTGAGACTTCGCAGTGTCATCGCACACTCATGCCGTCAACAAGTCACACGGCCCCGCCCTGTGTGATGAAAAGCCTTCTACGGACATTCGATGAGTCTCCCGGAGCCGCCGCATGCCGTGGCGGACCGTGTCAACACAACTCGCCGAGCGTAGGCGTAATGCGTCAGCCAGGGAGTGCTATGTTTACCCGACCAAAGCTAGGGCGTATATGTATACCAGAGTGGCTGCTAAACATTAACGCAGAGTTCGGCCTCCCTCTCTCATTGACCTAACCAGCAGTAAAAGCCCGGATGTCTAACCCCGAGCAGCAGTACACGACGCTTAACAATGGCCTGAAAATGCCAACTATTGGTAAGCTCCCAAGCTTAGTGATACGACATTGACGGGTCTCACAAGGAGACCAGGTCTGGGCTGTTGGTCAGGAAACACGCCAGAGGAGCATGAGAGCGGCTACGCATGGATTCTGGGGGCCCTCAAGAATGGATACAGGCATCTCGATACAGCTCACGACTATGGCACAGAGGGCGTCGTCGGCAGAGCCGTTAGAGATTCCGGCATCCCGCGCGAAGAGATCTGGGTGACCACCAAGCTGCCGTACGTACCCTGTCCGTGTGGGACCCGACACAGTTTGTATCCAGCAGTGACTGTTTTCTAGACTCCATCATCATGCAAAGGTCTCCGAGTCGTATCAAGACTCACTCAACAATGCAGGACTTGACTACTATGATCTGGTACGTCCCTGCTACAAAAGCCCGCTTGAGATAAGCTAAACGCGCGCCTGCAGTGGCTGATGCACTGGCCGCAAGCCTTCGCCAACATCGACGACAAACCCAACCCTCGCCATCCGGGGCCGAACGGCGAGCCCGACGGCGGCGAGTACATTGTCGTCGATAAGCCGACCTTCAACGAGACATGGGCGGACATGGAGAAGGTCTACGAATCCGGCAAGGTCAAGACGATCGGCGTGAGCAACTTCAGCGTGAAGAAGTACGTCATCCGTGCCGCGCCTGCATCTCTTTTTGTTGACGCGCTTCGCAGCCTGAAGACCCTGCTCGAGACAGCGAAAGTCGTCCCCGCTGTGTGCCAAGTCGAGACGCACCCGCACCAGGCGCAGCCCGAGCTGCTCGCCTTCTGCAAGGAGCACGGCATCGTGCTCACCGCGTATTCGCCGTCAGGCTACGCCCAGGTCGCAGGCGACCCGACCATCGCGCGGCTCGCGGAGAAGTACCAGGTGTCGCCCCCGCAGATCAGCTTCGCGTGGCACGTCGCGCGCGGGACGACGGCGGTGCCCAAGAGCCGGGACGCGCAACGCCAGCATGCGAACTTGTGGGTGCGTGGTTCTCAAACGCAAGATTGATCGTTGCGCTCGAGGCTGACAGGACGGCGTTAGGAACTGCCAAAGCTGAGCGATGACGACGTCGCGCTGATCAATACGCTGCATAAGAACGTCCACTACTGCGGATACCCAGGACCTAAGGAGCGCAATGGAGAGAAACTGGTGTTCGGGTGGACGTACTCGCAGATGGGCTGGTGAGCGACGCCAAGAGTAGTTTCGGCTCGTCCTCCGTGTACTTGTATGATCGCAAGAGCAAGACATGCGTTTGTTTCAGTGTATTCGCGCCGATAAATCGAGTTTCTGCCTGTCAAGCCACTAAATAGGGCGACTCTGATAGAGTTCTGGACAAGTGCTCGCAATCATGTCCACTCTTCTGCCCCGAAATGCGCATCCCCGTCCAGGCCCATCTTTCGCAGCTACCACCAACCCACCACAAGCGCAATCCGTCAAGTGAAGCTGTAGTTGATGCCAGAAACAGAGAAAGCGAGTACGCGGGACTGGTCGCTCAAGACATGCACGTGTAAGCGCTGTATTGATGGCTGGTTATCGCTTCGGATGAAGGAGCGCTTGGAAGGTGGGCATATCATACGAGCTGTTCCGGCTGTCGTGTGAGGTGTATCTCACGCCGTTACATTCACAGGAGAAGGCGACTTCCTGCGCTACGTCTCGATCTCGCTGCTTTCCGACCTGGGCAGCGAGCTGCCTGAGGACGAGGTGCTCCCAGATTGGGTGATTGCGGAGGATCCTGCGCTGCACTTCATACCCATGGAACTGCACACGAAGATGAGCCCGGCCTTCTACAGGGGCTACGTAACCGTCGTCGATGTCATGGTCCAGATCCTCCAGCGCGACGTCATTGCCGGCACAACCTGCGTCCCCACGCCGGACGCCGTCAACGCCCGGCTCCGAGAACTGTGCACGGCCGCGCGAGAGTGCGCCGGCAAGACGTCCGTGTTGTCCACGGACGACGTCGAGGACGTCGAGACGTTCCTGCACGCCGGCGGCAAGGCCGAGTTTGCGCTCGAGGTGCTCACGGACCGTGCGCGTGAGAAGTCGCCAGAGGGGAGCGAGTATATGCACCGGCCTGCGCTGCGCGTCGAGGAGGAGGAGTTTGTGGGGCAGGTGGGGGAGATGCCGGAGTGCGCGAATGACTTCGACTTCGAGCTCGTGCGAAAGAGCCTCGGGCTGCCGCCACATTTCATCGGCCCCCACTGGTTCTTCCTCACCGACAGCGAGTCCGAAGACGACGGTGACGATGACAACGGAGAAGTCGTGTACACTGGACGGCGTGCAGGCGAAGACGAGAGTGCGGTTATGAAGCGACGCGATGCATGATAGGATTTTTCACGGTAGTCTATTAGATCTGTCTTTGACATGCATCGTTTGGGCCCCCCGTGCACGAATATGTCATTGACATCTCCCTTGAGAGGAGGCTCCTGCTGCTTCTGGCGTCTTGCTAGGTGCAGACCGTAAACCGTGCCGCCCGAGTAGCGACCCGACACAGGGCTTAAATTATGAGTGTGGCAGACTGACATCTTCCTATCGTCCCGAGAGGCGCTGGGAACGCGAAACTTGGAGAGTCGTACAGCGTCCTCGTTATCGGGGCCTTGTCGGGGCCACACCGAGAAGGCACGGGTGCATGACCACTGAAATATTGGCAAGAGACGCTGGCCGGAAGCCCTCTGACTACGCGCCATCAAGCCATCTGCGCATCTGCATGGATATGGATCTCTGTTAATTGCACACGTAAATTCAAGGCGCCTCCCGCTTCGCCGGCGAAGCGTGAACGAGGTCCGCCGAGTCTTCGCCTCTGGCGGACAGTGCTGGAAGTATGCGCTTCTGACCCGGGATAATGTTCCTCGAGGAGCAGGAGGCGCGAACGCCTCATGCGGACGCGCCGGGCACGGCAGTGCAGAAAGCAGTATATACTACCAGGGCAACGTACAGCGAACGGCCGTGCCGGATGCGGACGTATTGCACCGCGGCCTGACCAGTGGCAAGTGAATGCGGGCTCTGCGCCGCTACCTGCGGGTGTGAGGTGAGGCTCGATTGTCCAGCGAGCGAGTGGGGAATCAAACAAGTGCGGGAGTAAAGGAGGGATCTTCGTCGAGAGGGATCACATAGGAATTAAACATCTAGACTCGATTCGCAGCACGTCGTGCCGTTGCGGCAGACGCGCAATTAGTGGCCGAAAACCTTAGGGACTGTAGATGAGGAGAGGGTGGCGTTTAGAGATCAAGCTGAGAAAGAGACTTACTTGTCGAACAGCTCGATACCGCCACAACGCTTGCAGCGGTTGGACTCGACGGCGTGCACAGCATTGCAGATGTACTCCTGTTGAGCGTGCTCTGGAGCTTCGGGGGTGACGTGGAGGCTGGCAGAGAGGTGCTGGGGCACCTTGAGAATGTGCCATGGCGGCGGGTTCGCGAAGCAGCGCGTGTACGAGGCCGAGATCTGTAACAAGGTATAATATTCGGCAATCTGTTACCTTTCCATACCTACGGATTAGAGCACCTTGACGAGGTTTTGTCATACTTTGGGACTTAGTTCAGTTCGTCAACGGTCCAGACTAATATGGACAAGACACAGATGCAGAGAATATAGGTGCAAATGTTTGTAAATGAAAGAACAGGGTAAAGTGGAGCTATTGTATACGTCTTTCAAGAAGTGGAAGTGAAAGGAGCTCATAATGCCTACACTAGCAGACTAGCTGCACCTGACCCCGATTTTTGGTGTCTTGTTAAGTTATTCCACAGACGTAGTCATGATCATTAAACTCACTGGAAGGGCAGCGGCCCATGTCTTGCCAATGGAGGTGATACTGCGAGAGTAGCTGTATGAATATGTGAGCTTGTAGTTTGCTAAATGCTGGATGCACTGCTCTCACCAGACCTGGATGGAGCGCCATGTTATGCCTGCTGCCACCACTTTGGAGGCCCATCCTAGCCAACAATCTGCCTCAGCTTCTCAATCTTTTCGGCATCACGCGCTCTCGAGGGTAGTCCGTCACTGGGATCGGTAGAGGCGAGACAGTAGCCAACACAATCCTCGTCTTTGAGAGCAATTGGTCGGACATAGCTCATTAGGCCGGCTTGCCCGACAACAGTAACGAAATAGTCGAACATAACGTTCGCCCTCGCGTCGGTGGTATCGTTCCAGGGTACCATGTACAACTCGTTGGCACGGTCGAAAATCCACTGGTATTTGACTTTGTAGCCGAACGCAAAATATCTGACCATGACAGAGCGTAAACTTGTCCGGGTTGGGTATGCGAGCCACGTTCGGCGAGAGGTAAGGTCAAGGTAAGGTAGAATTCGCATCCAGCCGCGATCATAGAAGCGCGCCTGATAGCCCCTAACCTGGCGTGGTCACCTCAACTCTGAAACCTCGAAGTTCAATAAAACACGCTGATACCCTTCATAGTCACTTACAATGCATAACTACATACGTAAAGCTGTTGCTCGGCGTGTGCATGTAAGCGCGAACGACTTCGACTTTGAGCTCGTGCAAAAGAGCCTCGGGCTACCGCCACAGTTCGTCAGCCCCCACTGGTTCTTCCTCACCGACAGCGAGTCCAAGGGCGACGGCGACAACGGAGAAGTTGAGTGTACCGGACAGCGCGTAGGCGAAAACGAAGGTGCAGTTATGAAGCGACGCGATGTATAATAGTATATTTCACGGTAGCCTACTGGGTCCGTCTTTGACAGGCATCATTTGGGGCTCCCCCGGCCCCGGGAATGACAGAGCCCGTGCACGAACAGGGACGTCTCCTCACCAAAACGACGAAGCGACGCAGATTTAACGCGTGCGGCGTTAAGCGACCCTTGTTGGACGCCGTTCCTTGAGAGGAGGCTCTTGCTGCTTCTGGCGTCTTGCTAGGTGCAGGCCGTAAAACGTGCCGCCCGAGTAACGATCTGGCACTGTCTTGCAGGGCTTGGATTACGAGGAGTACGTAGTCATCAGGCTATGCAGACTGACATCTTCCCATCGTCCCGAGAAGTGTTGGGAACGCGGAACTTGGAAGGTCGCACGATGTCCTCGTTATCGGGACTGCACCGAGGAGGTAGGGAGGCAGCACTGCCTACACAAGCTCGAGGGGAGAAGAGGGCAAAGAGAGCACATCAGACAGACATGGGGCAGAGCATGTGCAGAAGAAGGAGATAGGCGTTCGCGGAATGGGTGCATGACCATTGACGCCACGCGCGTAAGCGGCGACGGGTCACTCCATGTGACATGTGACGAAGTCTCACGCTTTGCGGTCTTTAGTGCCCCGCTTGTTTTGCAACCTCGCTCTACCGTCCTTGCTCATCATCCAGGGCGTCCGGGTTCAATGTCTGTCCAATGGCCAACAACCTCGCATGACGGCGGCGAAACTGTTCCAAGTGGTTCCAGCAGCCCGGACGATCATATCCACCCGCCACGGACGCCGACATCATCTCACCTCGAGCAGCCTCTCTTGCCTCCGGACTCGCCGCCGTCTAAAGCACCCAGCCGCTCGTTTTCGACGTCCAGCAACTTCGTCTCCTCGCCGCTCAACCCCAATGCTCCGCATACCGTACGCTCCCGCCCCGTGTCGCGGGGCAGCATGTACTTCAACGTTAACCGCGTAGCATCTGAGGAGTCTCAGGCGCTCACCTCCCCCTTCGCCACTCTCACCCCTGGGCAGCGAGGGTCTATGGTCCTTTACCGCCTAATGGACGGACACGGAGACCACCTTGCCCCGCCCAAACCGCCGATGAACAGGGACTCTGTCATCTCTACATCAGGAGACTCGATGTTTTCTCTCTCTTCCGACTCAAAATACCCATCTGGTGCTGGCCTGTCAGGGTTCACACCGTACGCGTACGATCCTGATCTGGATATGAAGGAAGAGGGAGACGAGGAAGATTTGCTGCATACAGAAGAGCCGAATCGAGCCAGGCACGATCTCTGCTCTCTGCGAGGGTGTCTCAACCTCGGCGTTCTTGTCCTCCTCATTCTCGCGCTCTTGATGCTCTTCGTCTGCTACCCCGTGCTAAATTTTTATCACAACAAGTCACTGAACTCGGCAATCGATGACAACCTCGCGATAAATGGGACTGGCCAGGCGGCTATATTGTGAGTTGCAATTTCTCCGTCTGGTCCCACCTGTCCCGGACTTATGTTATTGCATAGATTCCAAATGCCTGAGTTGATAGATTCCGACACTCCTGATGGCGCGAAGACACGGCAAGGCTTCGACGGCCAAGAGTACGACCTAGTCTTCTCGGACGAGTTTAACGTCGATGGCCGGACATTCTACCCTGGCGATGACCCATACTGGGAGGCGGTGGACTTGTGGTACGGTTCAACCATGGACTTGGAGTGGTATGATCCGAGCCAGATCACCACCGCCAACGGCTCTCTGATTATAACGATGGAAGCCGTTGAGGACATCACGCTGAACCACATGCTGCCCTACAAGAGCGGTATGCTTCAGAGCTGGAATAAGTTTTGCTTCAGCAGCGGTTACATCGAGGTCAGCATCACCCTTCCCGGCCCGAACTCGAATACACAAGGCTACGTGAGTTAGAGTTTTAATTCATATTGCATGTCGGAAGCTGATATTCCGTAGTGGCCTGGTGCGTGGACGATGGGCAACTTGGCTCGGCCGGGATACGGCGCGACCTCGGATGGCACATGGCCGTACTCGTACGTGACACGCGCATATACACAGGGTACATGTCTGTGCTAAGTTCACCGTAACTAGGTACGACGAGTGCGACGTCGGTATTCTGCCCAACCAAACGTATGTTAACGGCTCTGGCCCAGCAGCAGCCCTCCACTCCGACGAGTCCCGATCGAAGTATAATTTCGATCTGTCCTGGCTCCCAGGCCAGCGGCTATCGTGAGACGTTGCCCACGCCAAGCCTTTCAGAAGTTGACGCAATTTTCCTACAGCGCCTGTACCTGTCCTGGCGAAGATCATCCTGGTCCCACCGTCAACCAAGGGCGTGGGGCTCCCGAGATCGATATCCTCGAAGTCGAGAAGAACAAGACCGCCGGCGCACAGGGCCAGGTCGTCTCGCAGTCTGCGCAGTTCGCGCCGTTCACGGGCGACTACGGCTATCTCACAGATACCGATGATCAGTTCCAGATCTTCACACCGGACTTGACTCGTCCCAACGGTTACAAGTAGGTCGACTGCTTGCGCTGCACGAGAATCCACTGACGGAGTAATGACAGAGGTTCCGCTGTGTGCGTCCACGACCTGTTTTTTTTTTAAAGCACAGGGCACTAATGGCTTTCATGTAGCCAACAAGCCATTTCCTGTCTCACTGACTTACCGGACGACATGTTCCAGGGCTCAGGGCAGCAGTTCACGACCCTTGGTGAGGAATTTCCGCCTGAATATTGGTCTCGTCGGCTGATGTACTCGGCCTAGGCTTCGAGTATTGGGCAGATCCTGACAATCCCGAGGATGGTTTCATTACCTGGCAGACCGACGGTCAGCCATCATACCGTCTGGGGGCAACGGCTGTTGGTCCTGATATGGGAGCTAACGGCTCAATGGTTGGGCAGCGACGCATCGCAGAGGAACCAATGGTGAGTCTAAATTCAACAAGCAACGATACATTCATTGACGATCGCAACAGTCGATTATACTTAACTTGGGTATCTCCAACAACTGGCAAACGATCGATTTGTCAACGATGGAGTTCCCTGCAGTGATGCTCGTCGATTACGTTCGCGTATACCAACGAAAGGGCCAAACTAACATTGGCTGCGACCCGCCAGGATACCCTACCACCGATTATATTAACAATCATATGGAGGCATATACGAGTGAGCGCCGTTCGTGGCTGTATCGTGTGGAGGACTGATGTTGTTGTAGACCCCAACCTGACTTTCTGGTCGGATTCCCAGCCGGGCATCGGTAACGGAGCGGGCTACCCATGGCCCAAAAATGCATTAGTACGTTTTACCATTATGTGCGGGTGACGAGTGCCTAAGGCTGACTATTTTCCCTAGCACGATGGGTGCTGAGCCCTTCCGCGTACAAAGGACTTTTCTACCTTTATAATTGGTTTAATCCTCCTTACACACCATTGGACTCTCTACATCCGCACACGCATGCCACATCTACCGCCACCCTTTCCTACTATTTCCTGCATATTTTGGCTAGTCATCAGCTCTTCCTCCTCCTCCCATTTCGGCGCACACCCTTGTGCATGCACGACATGGACACCGTCCCTTCTGCACCGGCAGACCTATCCCCCCACCCAGCTTGAGCTCATCGCTTGTGCATTCACAGGACTTTTCCCTCTTTATATTAACATTGCGCTTCCTGGATCTGAAAGCATGCACGCGTCTCGGTCTGTCTCGTCTGTATTGATAACGCCTCATATCCTAGAGTCCGTTTTTACATTGGGACAAGACGATATCCCCCCTGATCTCTCTCTTTATACCACTCTCTTCTTTGGTTCGATACCTAGTGTGCAGTATCAATCCAACACATGCTTGTATCGAGGAACCTTGCCCGATTGTCGTCTTTTTTTTTTTTTGAGTTGTCTGTATGTCCCCCACCTTAGTCTCAGCTACACAAAAACTGATAAACTTTGACAGGGTTGTCGCTGTTCCGCAAAAGCCTACATGTCAGGATCCAAGAGGGCAAATGATATGCGCGTGAATGCGCCGCAGGCTGCGGGATGGAATATATCGCACGCGATACTGTCTCTATGGGCGCACGGCACGGAACGCCGCGTACGCCTTCGCCAGCGATTGGGAGCGCTTCCTGGTACCTTCGACGAGGCCAAGGTCGCGCTTGAGAAGGAGACCATGCAGTCGTTGAGCCTTTCGGCAGCATCAACGGCGCCTATGTGCCAGGCTCGAGGAGTCGAGATTGGCGAGATCAAGGCGAGGCTTGCATCCAGCTGCCTGGTAAGCTGATACTACTCGCCATTTTCCACGGTTGACCAATGTTGGAGCGATGCTCGGCGGACTCTCGCACATCCCGGACAGCCGGGACAGGCTGTGGGCTGAAGTCCATTTTTCGCCTGCGGAAGACTGCACATGCAATCGACGTGCACTGATATACTGGTACTTCTTTGCTGCTGCCTGCAGGCGCCCTTTATGTATCGTGTCTTCGATTGTGGCCGCCCAGACCGGGCCAGACGGCGTTCAGTGTGAGGTGCACGCGTCGACGTCTTTATAACCAGCATTGTATTATTGTATTAGCACGTGGAGAGCTGTGCATGCCGACGCATGCCTTCAAGTTGAACAGTGCTGCTATGGAAGGGACGTCACTTCGACAGCTCATCGTCAACCTCCATGGCACGACGGGCAATTGGACGGTCCCAGGTTAGATCGGTGGATGCAACGTGCTACGGTGCGTGGGTCGCTACCCTTGGCCGTTCTGCTCATACTCCTCCTACAGGCGATGAACTTTACTCGTCTCAGGCATTCATGCACCATTGGGGAACGCTCCCCCCTGAGCTACACAGACAGGTTCGAGACTTCAAGCGCTGACGATGGAAGCGCTGTGGTTTCAAGGCTCTTTCTAGTCTCCGACGACTGGTCCCGACAGCTTCGCCTTCATCCCTTCTACGTCCTCACGCTAAAGAGCGAGGGTGACTGTCGTATGCTCTACGCCATAATACGATCCCCGCAACATTCCTATCGCGCGTTTATCGCACGGAGCAGGTCTGAAGAGCTCGTTACGCAGCATCACTTGTCCGATTCTGTTCCGTTGTCACTTCTCATCGTACCACGCTCTGCTCCGCACACTGGCAGATGTGACCTACCTAGAGACCGTCAAGCTCGATGAGGTCACATGATCAGGTGCCCCCCTCATGACAATTAATTCCACGAATAATGTCTGCAACAGCACTTTCAGCCATGTCCGCTCAATCGAGCTGCTGTGTTGCACAAATAATGTGGCGGTACCTGCCTGGCTCCTGGGGGCTGCGAGTACACGGCACTCGTTCACCCGACGGACCACAGGACCAGTAGTCCACGCAGAAACATGGGCTGTCATCGAGTTCATCCAGAAGTTCTTAGGTGACGACGAAGTCCACTTGTCATGGTTCAACGTTGTGGAAGCAACTCCAGGTGAGCCTTATTCGCCACTCTCACATGTCGCCGTGCTCATGAACTACGGCAAAGACGCTTACAGATTCATCGGTTATCTATCAGACTACCTAGACGATGACCGACTACCAGACATGCATGTTGAAGTTAAAGTTGTCAGGTCCATACCTTCCGATAGCGATGGTGAGACTTGGTCTGTTCACCACATCGCCCTCGCAGTCCTGCACGGCTCCTTCTCGACCTTCCGTTATTTCCGCTCTCGCAACTGGTCTTCAATCATACCTGCATTTCCATAGTTGCAGCAATTCCGTGTCCTTTGCGGTGGGCAAAACAACTCAGAAGCGGGAGCCCGTGCACTCCGTGACGTAGTATTGAATGCCGCGAATAACCATCCAGCTATCAGTGTTCAACATGACCCTAGCCTGCCAGATGAGAGGTTCTTACAGCCAGCGTTGTTACAAGCGACCCCGCCGCCTCCGCTACGGTGGGTCATATCCCGTTTCGGTGCACTTACGTAACTACGTATCTCTCTCTCCGAGAGGTTCTCCATGTATTGTGGCTCGAATCTCTGGCGAATAGAGCCTGTTCCTTCTCAGTTCGACGTTCTGACGTATAACCGGGTAATGCACTACGCTGAGCCATCGTTACGTAGGTCCTCTGTCTCCGAATGATCCTGAACGAGACGGCGCGCCACGAGGGGGATGGTTGTCAGGCTACTGCCGACCGAGCTGTTTCTGCTGCAGGTGGAAGGTTCGCTCTTCCAGAATATGCATGCGATGTTGTGTAAATGCTTAAGTTAAGACGTGCCTTCCTGTTTCTGACAGCAGTAAATAAATGTATCCCACGGCAGTGATCCCAGTCGTTCAGGACGCCTCGGCCATCTTTCGTGATAATGACGTTCTCAATGTCGATATTGCAATGAGGTGACCCTGCAGTCCTCGCAACTTGAATTCCTTAGAGGTTGTCAATGTGAGGTTTGCGGAGACAGGAGAGGTAGAGACGCATCAACAAGAGTATCACGAAGTACTTGAACGAGCTCTTGTGTCTCGCGCGGACCACAGTGGGCACTGTATCCCGTGATAGAGTTTCACCTTACTTGTGCAACGGCTGTGTTCACGGAATGTTGAAGAGCAAACGGCAACTCAGGGAGCAGGGCGGCAGCTGCTACAAATATGGACAAAGAAAGGCCGTGCGTCCGGCTCGGTTGTGCAATAAACGTGCCTGCAGGTGATAATAGTCGGGTGAATTGTCGTGTTGAGCTAACAAATATCGTGGCAATGCCAGATACATTAACACTATGATCCGAGTATAAATACAACCATCCGTGTGGAAACAAAAAAGGGAACAAACCAGGTCGTAGGTATCGCTAAATTATAACCCAAACGACACTCCTCCCATTACCAAACACCCCCAGACCGCAAGTTCGTGATGACCTCACTCATGCCCATGACCCTCACCAGCATCCGCATGAACATCGTCCATGTACGCCGAGATGTAGTCGTAACTGTCTTCCTCCTGGTGCCCGCCGCCCTGCTGGCGCGCACCAGACGTCACCGACACTGACCGACTGCGCGGCTCGGTGGTAGGGGAGCCCGCGTAGCCAGGCACGCGCGGCGGAGGCTGCGGGGAGCCCAGCGCACGCTTGTATACGTTGAGGGGGCTCGTCCCGCCGCTGAGCGCCGTATCCTGCGACGGGGGCGACGACGGGCTGCGCAGCTGCCGCTTGAACGCTGCGGCACTGATCGTGCGTACCCCTCCCGGCGCGACGCTGCCCGAGGTAGAGGCCCCGGGCAAGTTGTAGAACGACCCGCCCTTGGGCGGCGGGGGGTACTCGGAGAGCGGGGTCCTAAACGGCGTGCTCATTGTCGAGGATGGTGCAGGCGACGAGGAAGCTGGAGGAACGGTTATGGGCGGCGGCGGCGGCGGCTGAGCGGGTGCAGGTGCAGGTGCGTCTGAGTGTCCGTCTGCCGAGTGGTCATGCAAGCTGCTGGCTGTCGGAGAGTGCGGTGCTGCAGATGTCGGAGACGATGCAACTATGGAGCGGTCCCGCTCCCTGGTCCACGATGGCTCGTTTCGTAGGCTTGTAGGTGGTGTTATAGAGTCCCCACCAACGCTCGAGCGGCGAGGCGTATGCCGCCGTACGAATGGTCGATCGGGCACCTCAAGTGGATCAGGCTTTGGGGCAGACCTTGGTGGGTCAGAAGTCTTGAGGGGCGAGTTGAACATGAGCGCGTCCAGCTCTCGCGAAACTTCACGCGCCGCAGCCGCATTCAGAGCCTTCTCTTCCTCTTCCGGAGACGTGGGGAGAGGCGGCGACGACGTCGTCTGCGGGATTTCTGGGGTAGCAGCAGTGAACGAGACAACGGGCGAGCGAGGAGGCGACCGCGCAGGAATTGTAGCGTTTTGTGCGAGAGTAACTGTAGTGGAGACGTTAGCTTGCTATATGCATTCGAATATGAGTATACGAACCATCAGCCCTTGCAGGAGGCGACTGAGCGCGTATCTCGCCCGCAGTGGTGGGCTCAGGCATAGCAACATTCGGAGACTCAGCGTCGGCGGAGACATCGGAGCTTTCAAACCTGACCCGCCTCCCTTCGTGGCTATGATCGGATGACAACGGCAGCGAGGCACGGTTTTCCGACAGTGGTGACATATATGCAAGCGCTGACTCTTCTGCGCCCTCAGCAACAGATGGTTCGTTGTCGCCGAAGGGATTCTCAGCGACGGCGCCTTGATTGGTTTGTGGTTCTCCAGGGACTTGCACGTCGCGCTGCTCGCCACGTCCCGCCGTCCCCGTCGGCTGCTCCACGATCGCACCGAGCGTCACGTCGGACACGGCTGTGTACTGCGGGGGCGGGAACGGGTAGTCGTGGTTCGTCGCGTACATCTTGCTCTCGTACGCCTTGCTCCCCGGCTGCGCGCCCGTCGCCGTCGTGTGTTTGTCGCGCTCTGGCCACTCGTCGCCGAGCGCCTCGGCGACGCTCGACGAGAACGATGTGTCTGCCTCGCGGTCAATCTCGAGCGACGGCACCCGGGCGTCAAGCCGCGGCGGCGCCGGCACGAATGACGAGCTGGACGCTTCGGACTGCGGACGCGGTCCGGTGATTGCATTCTTCGTCGGGAACGTTGCGAAGCGGGCGCCACGCGGGCCCATGGGCGACGGCGCAGGAGAGCCGTCGTTGAAGTTCCGCAGGGACGAGGTGCGTGGCGCGTACGCTGGGCTTGGGGGAACGCCAAATTCGTCCATTGTGGTTGGGGTGTACCCAGTGTACTGGGTCTGTTTGGTCACTGCGGCGTACGGGTCGTAGGGATCCGCGGCTGTCACTACAGAGCCAGGCGGAGGCGAACGCGGGAGCTGGTAGGGCGACCCACCAGACTCCAAGAGAGCCGTCATCCCCAGGCCAGGGGTACTAGACCCAACTTCAGGTAGTCCGATGTACGACGTGCCCGCGGGTGACATAAAGACCTGGCTGAAGTGAGTGCCATTACTGTTGCGTAAAGTAGGATCTGGTGTGCTGGGCACGGATGGGACATTGCCGTACGCAAATTGTACTGAGCTCGAGCGTGATACTCTGCCTGGTATAGGCGGAAGTTCTGACCCTGATGGTTGGCGGACGCCCACGGAGGGATCAGTTGAGAACGTGACGCTTTCAATTCTGCGCCTGCCTTCGGCGACCAGAGCTTCGGTATTCGCGTGACCAGTGTAGTATGGACGAGGAAGGCCAGGCTCGCTCTTCATTTGAGGTATCTCCTACAAGTGCGCAATACGTGTAGCGTTCGGAAGGGCAGAGAGGAGAGAAACTCACGGCAACGATCAGCTTGCCTATATCACTCACAATCTGTGCGCATATAAGGACCGGAAAACGACGCCAGTGGAAGCGCACCCACCAAGCCCTTCTCACAGCACTCGGCAAGCGCACCGAGCTTGGTCCCCATCCAACTCCGAGCGTTCGAACGTTTGAGGTCGGCGAGGCTCGCCTCCTCCTCGAGGATCTCGGTGTCCATTGCGCGAATTTCCTCACGGAGCTTGTTCAGACTGTCCGCCTGAGACTGGAAGTTCTTGTGTTCGCCGCTCATCTTGCTGAGTTTCTTGTCAGCCGAGTCCGCCTTGGACACTAGCGACTTCCTGCGCTTCTTGAGCTCGTCGAGGTTCTCCTCGCGCGTGCGCACCTGCTTCATCTGTTCTCGCACGGTGCCGGTGTGTGTCGAGAAGCGGTTAAGGGCGTTCGCGAAGTGCAGTAGCAATGCTGTGCATGCCGTAAGGGTATCCTGGAGAACACAGGGTTTTCAGTGAGACGGACTTTGTGGCAATAGCTCGCCACGCACCCCGAGATCATCGCCTTCTCCGCTTGCCCATACTTTGGCGGCTTCCGCTGCTTTAGTGAGATCACCGCCGAGCCTCTGCAGGCTGTCGACGCCATCTTAAGTACGATGTACTGATCAGTTCGGGCGGACGTACGTCTGCTGTACTGCCTTCTCAGCATTTATGAGCTCCTGCAGCGCTTTGAGGTCCTTGCTGATCGCAGCCTGGGCTAGCACCGGGACGTGCGCGTTGTGGGCGATCCGTGTCGTCGCCGATCTGAACATTACGGTTTGCCAACGGCTTGAGAAGCGTGGAAGATGGTGTGTAAGGTCCAGATGTTGAGTCTACCATTAAATAATGGTCAGACGGCGTCCGCAGCGGTGGGTAAGGAGTTTAGAGAGGCATCGTGCGGTGCTGCTACCGGCGTCTGATCATATGCACCGCCGCCGGCTCCAAGCGCCCGCTACTGCGCTGGCCTGAGTCTCTCGGCTGCGAACGCCGAAGACGACAGCGTAGAACTCGCTGAACAGCTATCTCAGAGACCTTAGCTCTTGTTTTTGTATCCGTTTTATTGTAACTGATGTCATATTATTATTACAGTTTACCTCCATGTCCAGTTATTCTTCGGCGACGATGACCACGCTCTTCCCGTGGTTCTTTCCCTGCTGCACATCAAGGATGGCGTGACCAGCCCACTCGAGGCCCTTCTTGGCATCTTCTATGTACTTGAACTCGCCCTTGGCGACGCGCGCCGGGATTTCGCGGTAAAACTCGTCTTCGTACTTGGGCAGGAGCGAGAAGACAAGGAAGCCGTAGAGCGTGATCTCCTTCCCGAAGACCACCGCCATGTTCTTCACCGGCGTCCCCTCGCCATTGTAGCCAGTGATGTAGCCGCACTCCTGCAATGTGGGTGTTCAGCAGAGCGGGACGTGTGTCTGAGCGACAAGGTGGCTTACCAAGAATCGGGCGCGCTGTGCCGCGTTTGTAAGAGCAGCATCGAGCGACTCGCCGCCGACGTTGTCCCAGTAGACATTGATGGGGCCTTCCTTTGCCAGTACATCGGCCGTCTTCGTCTTCTTGTAGTTGAACACGACGTCTGCTCCGAGGCTCTTGACGAATGCGACCTTTTCGTCGGAGCCGGCAGAGGCGATGACCTTCATGCCGTCGGCCTTTGCGAACTGGACGACGAGCGAACCGACCGGCCCAGACGCAGCTGTAACGAAGGCGGTCTCGCCCTTCTTCGCCTGGGCGTACTCTTTCCAAGCCGTATAGGCGGTCTGGCCAGGCATGCCTGCAATACCGACATACGCGGACCACGGGAGGCCTTCCTTGTTCTCGAGGATGCGGGAGCCTTCGAGGCCGGGAAGTATGAAGTATTCTTGGAAGGCTGGTAGTGGATGGGTAAGATTCATCGAAAAGGTCACAGGATAACAGGAGACTCACGGAAAGTGCCATAAAGGTGATCTCCGACCTTGACACCCTTATTCTCAGAACGCACTACGACACCTACGCCGAAATTGGCGATCGGCTGGTTCATATCGAAGTGAGGCTGTAGCAGTTGCGGTTAGGAGCTGATATACCGATATAACACGCGATAGGTGCGCACCACAAAGCCATAATCCTTGGGGTCCCGCATCTTGTCACGGAGGTAAGGGTCGATAGAGAGGACGAGGGTTTTGACGAGAAAGCCGCCGTTAAGGGGAGCACTGTCGAGATCAATCGTTTCGGACTCATCGTAGATGGTGGTCTTGCCAGGCTCGGGGTAGCCTTTGCACGAAACATGGGATCAGTTCACGAGCTCGGCGATGTGTAGATTTGTAGATACTCGCCTGAAGGAATATCATTGAAGAGAATACGACCGTTCTTCACTGGGGCCATTTCTCGTCGCTTGGATTGTTTGGTAGGCCGTTCGGTGGGCTGTTGTGATGACTTGCTGGCTACGTCGCAGAGACCCGTTGATATACCCCCACAGAGCCAGTCCTTAGGTCAGCGTGGTACTATCTCCGAAGGCGGGCAGTCGTATTGTGTATTGCCGCCGACGTCATCGGCCGTTTCAAACGTATTTCAGAGTTCGAGGATTCACTTCTATGACAAAATATCACGCGAAGGACGTTGCCCCATGCAGATTTCATCAGAGCGCTAAACGCTCGAGCTCTATAGCATGTCATCTCCGTCGGATCGTACTCACACACGGCGGATTGGGCCGAGTGGTCTCCAGCAAGCGCACCAAGCACTTGAAAAACCGTGGTGATCTGAGCCATTTCGTTCAAGATGCTTCCCTGGCCGCGATTGGCCGCGGCTCACCCGATAACATGCTTAAATTGAAATATCGCATGTAAAGTCTCATGGGAACACCACCTTCTCTAATGGTGCCATAGGGCTTCGTGAGAGCCCCGTGCACCCCGAACCGCGGAAGTGTCGTACGGTACATGGAGACCGATCGGCCGAAACCTGATGATTGTAAGCTCATCTCGACATTAAGTATCATCCATTGGTAGTCGCTGGAGCACCTAACGCTGTCGTGACAGCGATATCTTTTGAGACAACTCTAGGCGCGGCGCTCGGACGGGCTTCAAGCCTCAAACAGTTATTGCAAGCCAGTTAACCAAGCTTTCAGTCGCATACTGGCAACTGAAGCTTATTTATACTGTGACCATGAGTATACGCAATAGCATATTACCAGAAATCAACTGATGCCTTATGGGAAAATATCTGAATCGCAAGGATCACCTTCCACATTTGAAAGCTCTCTCGCTACATCGAGAACCGGCTCTAGGGGTATTTTTCAGCAGTGCCAAAGATCCACCCGGCTCAGATTATATCACTCACCCTCAGTACTCTCCCTTTCAACTGCAACACAGGAACAATAAGCAGGAAAAGCGCTGCAACCACAGCCGCTTCGCATCCAAATGTTTGTAAAGCTCCGTGCTTGAGTGCCCAGGGGACTTGAAAGTACGACACGCTGAAGCCTCCCAGCGTTCGTCCCAAGTTCAGCATGGCCGACATCTCGCCCTGTATCCAATTTAGCACTACAATAGTGGCACAGGCAGCTCCGGGACATGCCTTGAATCTGGGGAATGAATCGTTGAGATATGCATCTACTGCTTTTCAGCTGGCTATCACGAGTTTGAATCACTTCTCACTTACAGACAACCGTGGTATTTATCATGGTAGTAATCTGAACGAGACACCATCCGATGATGAAGGCCGCTATGTTGAGATGCTTCTGCAATCCGGCGCCCAGTAGTATCATGCCACATGTGTAGAACGCCACAGTGATGTAGCATGCCCTACACTATGTTAGCGGAAACAATACGCCATGCAAGAGTGGAACCTACCAAAGTCGGCTCTCAGCTTCGAATACACCGTTGTTCCTACGGATCGAGAGATACATGATCCAATCGTTGAGATAACCGCCGAGTAGCTCTCCCAGGATGACTCCTACGATAGGCGTTGCATAGCATCCTGCAATGCGCATCTGATCGAGACCATATCCCACAGGTGGCGGGTGGCTTAGAAGGACACCGTTAGTTACCTGGAGGACGCATCAAGCCCCTTCAGCTCATCATCCCGTCCGCAAAAGGTACACATACGCTGATGCCTATAGCGAACCCGAACAGCATTGCCTAGCCGAAGTTAGCACAACCTAAGGGCAAGTATGGACAACCGTGCTCACCTCGAAAAGCAGAATACCAAAGATATGCGGCCTCCATACCAAGTGCACCCAAATGATAGATACGTCCTTCCAGGAGGCCCTGAATTTCGCCATGCGAGCGCCAGCAATTCCGATCAGAAGCTCCAATCTCCTTCGAACCCAGGACTTCGGCAGAGGGTACGGCCTGGGATTTTCCAGGGAGCGATCATACATACTACGAGAATTGCTCATCAGAACCCTGTCAGAGTGCCATAACCAAAGTTGAGCGTACGTCTCTTCACCGAAAAGTACAACCAGCGCGAGCACTATGGCACCAAAAATGCAAGCAATTCCATAGCACCAGCGCCAGCTGATAGTACTTGGGGTTAGCCTTCTTAACCGAAGAGAGGAAGAAACCGTACTTGGCTCTCGCTACCAAGAATCCGAATGCCATGGGACCAAGGAATGGAGAGGCAACAAATCCCATTGTCCAGATATTCAGCTGATAAGGAATGGACCATGAGAAAGTGCACGCTCGACGCGCCTTGAATCAACGCACCTTGCGGGCTTGGAGATGGAAAGGAAACATATCAGTGATGCCATATAGGCCCTGTGATTAGTATGGACTTAGTGCCAGAACAACGCGCTGAAGATATCAGACCATACAGCCACTTGAGACGCCGTCCTTTTGCAGTGGCTTTTGTCAGTCAGAAATACTCAGTAGTTGGTAGTACCCACCCGAAAAATCCGCCCAGACATCGCATAGCTGGATGAGCACTTAAACAGCACGCCCCCAGTAACATGTGCAAGAGTCGTACCAGCGAAGATGGCCAGGTCCGGCGAGAATGTGTTACCGAGTAGAAAGGCCAACGAGAGAACCAGGGACCAGAATAAGATTGGAAGACGTCCGTATCGTCTGATGAGCATAACGGCGAATATGCCGCCCCACCCTGCAGAACATGTGATCAGTTGTTGGGTGCGCATTGGAAAAAACGCACCAAGCAGAAATATACTCCAGCTATGCGACCAGTGAGAAATGAACGACTATGCCAACCACTGAACACAAACTTCAATGTCAAGTCGTTTATCTCTGCCGTCGTCGTCTTGAACTGCCTTGCGGTGGCAAAGAGGGTAGCAGTCACTGTGCAATCACGTGAGCCGATAAAGACTTGGCTACAGCATTTAGTTTTCGCTTACCTATACCGTTGTCGAAATCGGGCACGATGGCGGCCAGAGTGATAATAAAGAGCTGAAAGCCTTTGCGAACGTCCGACCACTGTTGACCAAGAGCAGACACTCAGTTCTCGCATTGAGAACATCGGAGTTCTGGAACGTACGTTCTGAGGGTCCTCGGGATCATCGGCAGGTTGAGGCCACAGCACTGTCTTCCCGTCGGCCGTCAGCTTCAGTCTTTTCGAAACCTCTTCTCCAAACTCTACTTTCGCTTCCCTGTGGGCAATCAGTCACGAGTCGTCCCACAGATGCAGACGAAGACGTACTCAGGATCGACAACAAGCCGTCCGGCATTGTTCTCGTAGTAGGCCACGAGATCTAGCTGCTCGATCGAAGCAGTTGCCTTGGCCTCAAAGTCCAGCTTCGCGCTATCTGAAGGCGACCCGGGCACTAGCACGGACTGAGGCTCAGGCATGAAGGGTAGATGGAGCGCAGCGGTATCTTTCCACGAAATCCGGCTCTAGCCTACATAACATATCGGCGGCGCCGAAAACCAAGAGCCTTCTTATCTAGACCCCCAGCTGCTGTGTCCCATGACACTTCATGTGAGAACATAGTTCACGAAGCGCACCCTGTGAGAGAATGTCAGACGCTAAGTGGTGGGTGACCACCGACCACTACACCTAGCTCATTCTCGCCCACATCACGTGCATCATAAGCGCCAATAAGCGGGAGGTTTTTTTTGAGAGCGAGAGAGAAATCTGACCCCGAACTAACCAAACGAGACTTGAGATCTTGAGAGCCTATCTATCCTCGACTGCATGCCGAGGCAAAATGAGGAAAAAACTGGTGCAAAGTAGCCTAACGCACCTCCTCGAGTGAAACCGGAGAAACTCAGGTCCTTAACAGCTTGGAATGGCGTGATCATCCAGTGGTAGTCGCTGGAGTACCTGACGCTGGCCAAACGATGTCCTTCGAGACAACTCTAGGCACGTCATTCGGACGGTCTTGAAGCCCCAAGCAACTATTGTGGGCCGGTTAACCGAGCTTTCAGTCGTACAACCGGCCTATTTCAGCAAATCCATACTGTGACCATGGGCGTATACAGCAGCATATACCAGAAATCAACTACATGCCCTCTGGGGAAGTATCTGAGTCGCAAGGGCGACATTTAAATCTGAAAGCCCT